CAGGCAGGTATCTGACTAACTAAACTGTGAAATTCCTTGGCAAAAAACCATTCAGCATCAGACCAACACACTGCATCCCAATATGTAACACCACCCTTCTTTTATTTGATTAATTATATAAGCATAAACAAATGCCATTATCCCAATGAAGCATTCACAGCACAAAGGAAGGAGATACTACTCCACTCTAAATCTCTACTAGCAGGATTTCAAATTCCTGCACTATGTCTTCAAAGTTCTTTACCATAACTATGCTGCTGGCTCAGACACTGCCCTAGGTGGAACTAAGCACCAAACAACCTAGGTGAATGCAAGTGCATGGGCTATTAATAAGACAACTTTTCATCGTTCATTGACTGCACTAATTGTTTCTCAATACATAGAGCACATCCTATGAAAGTAAAGTCAGAAAATCCCAATGCATTATGTTTGTAATATTAGAAAGAGAAAACCATTATAAGGAAAAAGAACAAAACCATAATTTCTCTGGAAAAAGAATTGATTTTTCCACGAGTCGCTTTTACCTACAATGATATAACAGTTAAGTGCAGCTGTTTCTTTGATAGAGATTCATTCAGTGGATAATTTGTTTTTCCTGGACTTCTAAAATATATTATATTGATAATAAGTTTTATATGTGGTTCTACTGTACAATATTTACTTGTTTTAGTACCCAATGTTTATGTTATTGCAGCTTGATATACAAAAAGAGAAATGTAACTTATTCAGTAAACTGTGTTCCCATCACAAATTTGACCAACTGATTCTGAAAAGCTACAATAAAAAAAGTCAAAAGTTTTCCAATATTCAGTTTTAAAGCAAAAGACTGGCTGCAATTTACAGAAAGAAACCTGATGAGTGAAAACATTAAATTATATACAACTTCTCATAACATTTGTTAACCAGTGCATATATACGCATTCACAGTAAATCATGCAGAGTCTGATAGTGTAAATTATGTGTTGTAGTGACAGATTCTCATGCAAATATAGTATGAATCTGAATCCACTTCCTTAAGGGCGCAAAGTTCTATGTATAAACCTCAGAAAAGAACTCTTATATTTTTACAAGTCTCGGAAATCTGAGGAGAAATATATTGGAGGAATATATTTTCTGTTCTGCCTTACAGGAGGAAATTACCTTACAAATACATCATAAAATAGGCAGAACATTATTGGTTTTATTCAGTTTATCTCCATGACCAATTTTTATTTTTAAATTCTGAAGTCTAAGATAAGAAGGAGATACAATATAAACGTCAGTATCTTATAAACACAGATTTTTGCTTAGCAGCTGTCAAGTCCATATGGACCCTTACATTACATAAAAATACCAATGAAATTGCCAAAGTCAGCAAAAGCTTCCCAATAATCAGCTGGGGTCAATCCTGCCTTTAAATTAGAGAACAGAAAATAACTGTGACATTAATGGTATGATATTTGATATTAACAGAGTAAATCAATATTTTTTCTGGTTTGGGAATTGTGAGTTAACAAAAAATTAATGAAGGACTATGAAAAATTTATTTTGAAGCAAAAATGAACCTCTTTGAGGAGACATAGCACTATCATGTGTTAACACTACAGAACCACTTTATGTAACACATGAATAGTAAGTTTATTTGAATCTTGCCGCAGTAATAATCCTTGAGACTTGGCCCCTAGAAGGTGGTATTCAAGGTAAATTTGTGAGAGAAGTACAATGGAAGAAATCTCTATTGTTCTGCTGAGATGCTGTAAGAGCTGGGATAGATGCCCTCAAGAAGGCACTATGGAATAGTTTCTGAAACTTTTAGCAGTAGGAACTTGACCAGTTGATGGCACTGAGCCTCAGAAAACATATAACTAGAGGCTGTTCTACACTAGAGAATACACTGTTTTCAACAGACAGGGAAACTTTGTCCTTCTGAGAAGAAAGTGGAAAAGAAAGAAGTGGAAAGGAAAGAAGTTATATTCTTCCAAAAGGAATAAACTAAACTTGTATTGACTTTTGATCAGAAATTCTGATCAAAAGTAAGTGGATGGAACATGAGCAAGGATGGAAGGGGAACAAGTAATCAGACGTTTCTTAGAAAATTAAAAGATGTGTTGTGTGGTGATACCAGTAATTCTTTTGAGGTGGCAACTGAATCAGGTTGTGCTAAATAAAGAATTTAAACATCCTTTTGAAATGGAGCTAACTTCCTGATAGAAGGAAGAGAAGTCAGAGTCTATCAGAACACCACCAAGATAATACTTTATAGTATCACAAAGTTATCACTTACTACAGTGATACATACAATCAATACATCTTTGAAGAATTCCATCCATGCAATGCAAACAATTACATAAAAAGTAAAATAAAGCAGTTGACTGCCAATGAGGAAAGAGCATTATTAAAAAAAAAACAACACCAAAATCATCAGTGGCAATTGATGAAAACTCTTTGCTTCCCTAAACAAATTAAAATTTGCTTCCCTAAATTAATTAAAATTAGGAGGATTTTGCTGGTATCAATGAAGGTCAGTAGTTTTGTGCTGCATGTTACACCTTGAACTTTTGAATATGAGAAGTATCTCTTTTTCCTTCTGTCTCACCAGCTCTAGTGCTATCTGAAGTGATAATGACTGAACCGTTACCATCTGTACCTCTTTCTGCCTTGCAATCAGATTTAAAAAGATTGTTTAAGGGATATTAGTGAGAACTGCTGCTGAAGTAGAAGGTCCCAATCCCTGACCACAAATATACCCACCACTTCCCGTTGCTGGCACTAAAGCTTAAGCAGACATGTGGTGAGCTAGTTCAGGGAACTGATCCAATTGAAAGCAGCAAAGAAAAATAAAACAATTAGTTTTCAGCTGAATCTATTTCCTGAGATAATCCTTGAACAGCTGCACATCTGCTAGTGCCAGGACTGGCACAAGAGAGACAACAGGAATGCACAGCCAAGACACGGAGATGACTTACAGTGATCATCAAACTGCAGCTTTAGTCCACTGCCTAGCCTAGACCACGAAACCAAACAGCAGTGCTTTTCACCAATTCTGTTTCAAAATGGATGAATCTCGGACTAGATGGAAATGAAGCGGTATCTCTAAAGCTGTAATTTCAAAGATAAATGTTGAACCTTCTTGGGCAGAGCAATATGAATGAAGCTTGATGTTGACCCACAGTTGCCCATATTCTAATCTTGAATGTCTGACCATTCTGCTCCAGATGGCATGTCTTGTAAAGATTTTTTAAAAAAAAGAAAAAAAAGGAGGAAAAAATCCCAAATAAATTATGGGAAGAAAGAATGTGAAAGTTTTCCTGCTTACGTAGACTAGAGAAACTTCTGCAGGATCAGAAGATATTAAGAAATAAACAATGTAATTTATTTTTCAATATTGACTATAAATTATTAAAATACACTCTCACAATGGTTTTAATTACTTAAGTAAGAAAGAGGTAATACAAAAAAACCAAAATTTTTAATTTCTAATGCAGCATAAGAAAACCATGTCATGTCCCCTCCATGTTCAAGATGTAGTACAGCCGAATTGTTTATTTCTATAGAAATGATACTATATTATATGACTTGTAAATGGTTTGGGATTTTCTACACTGAAAAAAACAACTAATTTGCCCATGGTACAACAAAAAATGGTTCTAAAATTTGTACCAAATGTTATCTTTTATTATGGCCTGATTGTTTATATGCTACAATCTTCATACTTAAGAACATAGGGTTTACACATAGAAAAATGAGAAGATTCTCCCACATTTTTTGTGTGACAGCAATCCTAAGTTGTTCTTCAACAAATTTATTTCCAGGAATTGTTGAAACTGTATTTTCTTTTTAATTTCTAATTAGATTATTTCTTAAAGAGGTCTTAAGAACTTTCTGAATACCACATTAAATTAAAAAATAAGGAATTGTAGTTCTTCATCACAGTACTTAGTATTAATTTTTAACATCTTCTGTCAAGACTTTTAAAATACAATGGAAATATATAGGGCTTCCATGTACCCTGCAGTAACATTTTACTATGAAACTAAAATGTGAATGTCATCTTGAGTGTTTTGTATAGCTCTGCCACTGTCCATACAAACTTTCAAATGCAACTACTGTGCAGTCCCTAAAAAATAAGAGCAACTCAGGCTTTTACTCCACCAGGCTGAAAAAGTGTTGAAGGATTTTAAGCAAGGATTAGTGACACAACAGACCATAAAGAAAATACTGTGTTGGTGATCCCTCTTGGGGATGTTAATCCTATATGATCACCTATAGCTGATCTATAGAAGCACTTCTTTACTGATGGTCCAGTGTATACTTGATCTAGGTATTTTTGACATGGACAATATTTTGGCATTAAAGTAATAGCTATAATTTACCAGTTTAATGGCTGGCTCCCTATGTCCATTTCACCACAAATTACTGACCTGAGAGGCTGTTACCCTCCACTATAGCAATACCTATATACTCTGTGGGTTACTGACAAGGTGGCTGGTAAATGATTACTGTCTTCCTGTTACATTCTTTCATGCTCTTCTAGACCATCACTCCCAATTTATCAAAGTGGTATTGTTGACAGGAGGAAAATACAATGTCCTGAAACTGCTACAGTAGAAGAGACAACAAGCACTAGCAAACCCTTTTATCTCATGTAAAAAAATTAAAGCAGTGAACTGAACCTTCTTTGGAGCTTTTGCTCTATGTGTTCTGTCAACATTATACATAATCTAAGGATCTTTAAACTGCAGGAAAGGAAACTGTCTGTATATTAAAACAAGTCTATGCTGTATCATTCACACATTATTTCAAGCATGTGTCCATGGAATCTGCCTGACATGTAATCCTTATAAAAAGAGTACAGGATTTTATGAGCAAAAGATCCACCCCACCATTGTAGCGATTTTACACCATTTTTTTTTGTCATGGTTTTAATATCATACAAACCTGGTACCATATCAGAGAGAAGTCTTGGGAAACAGCAAGCATGACACTTAAAATTTGAATGGTAAAGAAGTGGGGAAAATTACCTCATATTCCTGTGAGAACTTCAAATTGTCATTTGCTTTCAATCTTTCAATGTGATCTGCAAGTTCCAAGATAGGTATTGGGGGATGACTGGCCATACCTGTTGAACAAGAAAGAAGAACAAAATTTAACGTAAACTACAGTGATGACATTGCTCTAAAATTTAGAAAATGCATTAGTTAGAATGTCAATAAATGTGTAAATAGTAAAGATGTCATATGTGAGAGAAGCAGGCAAATAGTTTGGTTACTCAAAGCAGGACATGCTCTGCATAGATGAGCTCTGAAGCCAAATTAAAAAAAGTCACCAAACGTATTCCCAAAGCTAACATTCCTAGTGTAGAGGAAAGAGCTACTGTCATATGAGTCAATGAGTTTAGCTAGGCATGGAAAAATGAAACAGTTAGACCTGATGTTGACCTCTGCTTTGAGTAATGACTCTTAATGTCATTTTAAACCCTTCTACTGCAATGCATGAAATGAAAACTCTATTGAATTAGATGAGGAAATGTGAACTGAGAAACAGACACTGAAAGAGCCCTAAAGGGGAAACAATAGTGTTTTGACAGAAAACAAAGTGACTTATGCATAATCAAGAAAAACAAACTTGAATAATGAAGGTTACCAAGGTAACCAGAGACACCTGAACCTGCAATGGAAATAGTAAAAAAAAAGAAACCTAAACCAACATAAAATTTTCAAAATAAAGTATTAAATAATGAAATGGAAAGATTGAAGATTAATAATAAAAATAGTAATAGTAATAATAATGCATCAAGGTATAGAAGACTGTGTACTCTAAATTAGAAATACTTAGGTATTTTACAGAATTCTGAGGTGACTGACATGCAGCTATGAATGGCTAGAACAACATGCATCACTTTTTAAAGACAACAGTCACTGAAGACAACATTGGACATAAGACAATTAGAACTTCAAAAATGTTTTCACTAGTAGCAGATTGTAGAGGCAGGGGTTGTACAGTTTGGCTGGACTCACATGCTGACTGCACTAGTACCTTAATATAAGCTTAATCTGAAATCCCATTTATCAACCCCTAAAAGTACCTACAATCTACTTCAGGTGTAAACATCTTTGTCCACTGATGAAGATATTAAGTGAAAAAGAAGAAGAGCTTGGAATTGGAAGTACAGATGGGTGTGTAAGGGGGTACAGGGACAGCAAGGCAAAAAAAAAAAACAAAACAAAACAAAAAAAAAAGAAAAACCAAAAAAACCAAAAAGACAGAAAAGATGTGGGGTCAACTAGAACAATCTGCCAGCTTAAAATTTGACAGGCAAAATTTATTTCAGTCTTCATGAGCTTTCTCCAAAATGCTTACATTCTTCTCTTCATACTTTAGACTATCACACCTAAAATGAAAGTGAGGTTTCAATAGCTCAGGGAAGAGATCAGAGCTGGCAAGAAAAAGTTAAGCTAGTGAACCCCAGGATCTCTTGAAATTACAAAGGGAAAACACTGATGACTCAAGGGGGCTCAAGCTGGAAGGCATGTTGCACAATGCAGTTTGCTTTGTCACCGTGACCTTCAAGAGCATGCCTAAGACAGTTGACTAGCATTTTCTTTAAACATAGCTGAAAATGACCATGTGGCTACAACACAGTCACACTACAGTATGTGCTTTAATTCTTTAAATTCTTCTAATTTTGTTTTTAATTCCTCTTTTCTTTTGGATTCTTTGACATTTCGAGCATCATAATAGACTCCAAAATAATGTCCAGCAGCACTGGCCCTAATTCTTCTGACCCTATTAGGGAATCATAGCACATAGCACATCTGTGATGGTAAGCCATTAAACAAAGCAGAATATTCAGATCAGTGGGGAGATTCCTTAAAAATTTCAATTAAAAAAATTAGTCTCTAAGTACTAATTTATTTGCTGCAGCTCTGCTTCTCTCCCATTTTCTTACAAATTTTACTTAGGGCTTGGCTACTCTCAAAATGAGATCAGTCATCTAATAATTAGACGGATTGATCCAGATCAAGCACCCCTATGGAAAATATGTGGGTGAAAAGGCACAGGAGAACTCTAGATTGATCCAGAAATGGAGGTGGACTGATGTACATCTAAAACAGTGCTTGAACAGAGAAAATAATAGAGACAAAGATGTTTAGACCTTTTCGAGCGAATCGTGGGAGAGAGTTATTATCATATAAGGACTGAGTGGTAGTTTGGCTAGAGAGGGAGGACACAGAGCCAATCAGGGAGGCGTAGGGGACTGAATTACTGCTCAAAGCTGTAAAAAGTAAAAGCCAATCGGAAATGGGAAACAAATTAGTAACAGCAGTAGACCATCATAATCAATCATCTTGTACATACAGGCACTTCAGACATGCACAAAACAGCGTCTGGCAACTCAACTAAGATATTTAAAGGTGCAGTTACCCTACTGTAAATATAAAGGTCATAAAACCAGTGAGTATGAGACTCACTCATCACACAATGAACCTGACTGAATCACCAGCATCATGAACACAAATCATAATAATTAACTTACTGTGAAGGAATATTTTTCTAAAGATGCTGAACACCCATTCTTTTTTCAATTGTTTTTATTTATACACTTCTCTTTATGACACTTGACATTTCCAAGGGGAGATTTCACTATAAACACTTTGTGTAAATAAGAAATTTGAAGGTAAGTTTTGCTAAGGCAAAAAAAGGAACTAACAATTTCAGAAACTGACAAATTTTAACTGCATTTAAACCCTTCTCTACATCTCATTTTCAGCAATTACACCTTGAATTACTTTCCTCAAATAATATTTGGCAGTTAACTTACAAAGTAATTGCATTTGTTCTATTTTCATACTTTAAATCCATAAAATTGGCTCTACTGATATGATAGAAGTAATTATTTTTTAAAAGAACTGCTGGAGGGCTTTTGTTATGTAATCAGTCTGTGAATCATAACAGAATATGCTATGAATAAACATCCTAAGATGTCATCACACCTCATGCAAAAGCATGAGGTTTCAACTGAGCAGGTGTAGAACTAGACTCAAAATATCCCAGTTAAAATACAGTTAAATTCAGTTCTTTTTGTGGTTACAAATAAGAAAATACACTTATTTGATGACACACTCCCACACCAATCAACATATGTCATGACAACACAAAAACTTAAAGACAAAATACAGCTAAATTACAACAGGTCCTGTGACATGCTAAAAAGTCAAAAGAAATACCATGCTGAAACATGCTTTCAAATTCTCTTTTAAATATGGTATCTCTTTTTTTTTCCCCTTAAAAAAAAGAGATAAAAACACCTGAAAACTCAAAGAAAACAAAACCCCCAAAACCACCACACGCAAAATACAGTTGAAATTGTACCCATTAAAAATTTTTATAACCAGGTTTGGTAGAAGATTGCCAAATATAATTGATCTTATGCAGCCTAGTAGTAATTCCTTTGCATGAATTAAATAACAAAGTATGGTTTGATTACAGTGTAGAATTATCCTCTGGTTAATCTGTGGTAAATACATCACTAAGGAACATGAAATACTATTTCTGCTACAAGTTCAAGGAAAAAGCTAAGAGAGCAAGGTCAGAAAACATCTGCATATTAACAGACATTAAACCTGTTAATTATATTTCCTTATCGCAGCTAATCAAGTGGGTGTTTTAGGCTTGTCATTAGTGCGTTAAATTAGGATTTTGTTTGTTGTCAGGGTTTTATGATAAAGGCTTTTAGAAACATTTATGACACATACATTTATTTACCAATTTGGAACTGCAGGTTCACATACCCACAATAAACAAGAACAAAGTTAGAAATTAAAGAGCAAATCTGCTAGCATACAGACGATAATCTACATGAAGTGAAAATGTGACACATAATTGTCACAGAAATTTCTTTAGGAAATGAGTGGTATGTTAGGTCCACATTGAATTAATTGTCTGTGACTCTACAAATGTCTCATTTTTATTTGATAATTTACGGAACACTCTTTTACAAGTGAATCTATGCTGAATAAAATGTCCCTTTATAGAAAAAGTATGTAATAAGTAACAGTGGTTGTTGAGACTTATCCTTATCAAAAAGATAGGAAAAAATACCTACTTTGAATTCGGACATGGAAAAAGGAAAAAAGTAAGGATGACCCTTATTCAGTAGGAATTCAACATTCATGAAAACTTAACAAGAATGCCTTTAGTACATGAAAATTACTGTTACTTTAAAATTTCTTCTTCACAGAGCCAGAGCTAGGCCAGAGCATGAAATTACAAAGACAAATTTATAAGACAATCTCTAGAGAAATATATCATTCTGCAACAGCTATACTAAAATAATTGCAAATGCATATATAATATTGCAAAATTATGCCACTTTTATTCAAGAATATTTTCTGTTCTTCAAAACTTGATCAATTATTCTGGAATGAAAATATTTTATATTTTTCTGAAACAAAGACTGAGCTTTAACAAGGAGCATTGCAGGCTCCACAGCCTCATAGCAGAAGCACCACCTCTGAGTGATTTTTAAAAGTCACCCATAGTGAGAATAGGGGAAACCTAATTTTCAGATCCTGATATAAAAATGTCAAATACAATAAGATGTTACAAAAACTATGGTCTAAAATCCAGAGGAAAAGAAAGGGATAACTTTTGTGAAGAGAAGACTTTTCAACTTCATCTTCTAGCTAAGCAGGTTCTGGGTTCCTCCAGGTTTCAAAGCAAAATGGGACAGCAGAGAAGTGCTGTTAGCATCGGACGCTGTGCCTCTATTAGGTGCCTAAATCCTCCGTGTTAGACGTGCATAACCAGAGCTATATGCATGATGGCTCACTATGAGAAACATTTTAGTCTGTTTTTGCCATGGAGACAAAGCACAGTACTTCCTTCGACACTGTCATGATTCTCATAAACAGATGTTGAGTGGATAAACTGCACAAAAAAAATTCTGCTGTCACGCAAAGCAGGTAACTAATTCCAGACATCACTTTTTCCACCTTTTTTTTTGTTTGCACCCTTTTCCTCTGAACATGTTTTATGCTTTTTCTGCTTTATCATGGAAATAAGTTTGTTGAAATTCCTTAGCAACTCAGGGAATAAGTGAGCACTTATCTAATTAAAAAAGAAAGGTCTTTAATTTAGAGCTGTAATAACTCTATTTATTTTTCTTGTATTTAAAAGCATCTTATTTAGTTCATAAGATATAATGAGATAATTGTTTAATTGGCACCCAATTACAAAAATTACTTATAAGTGTGACACATTTTATAGTTAAATGGGGATAAAAAAAATCAGTCACTTTTGAGGCATGATTCAATTTATTTCTCTGGCTGATTGGCAGATTGAAGTCTGCCTGAGCCTTGGATCTCTCAGAACCCACTCAAACTACTTAATTTCAGTTAATTTTCTTCTGCACAACCAGGCTGCCATATTTGATGAAACCTTTTGTGAGGCTTAATTATTACCCTTTCTTTACCTTAACTCTCCCATGTGGCATAGAGACCTCTAAAATTTGTGCACCAGGTTAATGATTTTAATTCTGCATTTCATAGGCAACTTGTAGAAAGGTAAGAATGTGACAGACTTTTCTTCAGCTATTCCAGTTATGGAAGAATAACAGACTTAAAAAGGAAATCCTACTGAGAGATTGGGTATTTTCATGTTTACTCAAAGAGAACGTGGCACTGCTGTGACCCACTCACTGGCATATGGGCTTATCTAACACATACACATTTTTGGATAACACACACGGACCTGGGACCTTGGTCTCAGTTACAGAACTGTGGGCTATTCCAAATGTCAAGGCAAAGTGTGAAATTTATCTATGGAGTTACTTCATCCAATGAGGAGGGAAGCCAGAAATAAATTTGATCCTTTCTGAACAAGGTAAGATAGGAAACTCTTTAGGTTAGAGCCCTTTAGATCTCTTTATGTTATTGAAGAATGTAGACAATAAGAAGTGAAAGGAAAGCATACATTTCCTCTGCTGGTAGTTTAGACTGTGAAATTTTATAACATCCTCAAGCAGAATTGAAAATTTTATGACAAGTACAACATATTTGTACAAAAATGATTGTCTAAATATCACCAAAGATAAAATATTGCTTTCTCATATTTTGTGTCAAAAATCTACACTTAATCTTCTGCATTCGGAGTAATTTTAAATTGTGGTTAGAAATTCAAATTCACCCCAAGGAGTTAGGTTTCAAATGATTTTGATACCTGTATCCGATCAGGTCTTTCCTTATACAAAATATATGATTGATAGGATGTTTGGAATGGGACTGTTTAGAAATCTTTTAAAGTACTAAAGTTTATGACAATCCATAATTTTATAGGAGTGTCTCATTCATCTCTCCAAGTAAAAACTGCCAGTCCAGATATGCCAATGTAATTTAGAATTTTTTTCTCTAACACTTCTGTACATTATGGATTCATTCAAAATTGTTTTCCTCTCTCACTGGAAGCAGTTGGTCTGCCTGGAAAGCTCCAAGCAAACTGCAGATGCTTTCATAATCTAAAGAAATAAATCATTAGAATAGCAACTATGTGAAATCATCTACCTTGATGCACTTGTACTGATAGTATATTCACCACTCTGTCCTTTGTTCTCTCTGTTGGCAATGTTGGAAAATGCCTCATTTTATGAGGGCAATAGCAGATTTCTCAGTAAAAGGAACCCAACACATAACCACATCAGCCCTATCCCCTTCCCTTAGTTACCTCCTTTGCAGTACCCCCCTATCTAGTTCTGCTACCTTGCAGAAAATAAAACCCATATATTTGAAAGTGAAAGAACAACAAACCCAACAAAGCTGACATCCTGAATGTATAGCCTTTCTGTAGTTTCTCTATTTTCATTTAAAAAAAAATGAAATAATATGCAGTAGCATATTATTTGATAGTGTGTTGGCGGTTGGGAGATGGATAAATATTCCAGTAGGATCTAAAAACTTAAATTTATTCAGATTTTAATGACATGGTAACCCTAACTGAAGTTAATTTAAGTGAAATTCTGCTTTTACTAACAAAAGAACTGTAGCTTGATTTCACTGTGACTGTTTACATAGTAAGAATGGGTTAACAGAGTAAGTTAACAGTGTAACAAAGTAAGACAAATCTACTGGGGTAAGATTTTTCTCCTTTGGTATTTGGTTGAGTAGTACAATGGCCTGACCTGTGTCTAGGGACCTTAAGATGTACAATAATAAGGAAAAAGAATATCATTTGATGTGTTTTGCTTTTAATAATAATGGTAATACTCCAGTCTGTGAAAAGGATTATAGCGAAGGAATTCCTAGTAGAAACAGATCACAGATGTTCTGCTCAAATAGCTTCACAGAAAACTGCAAACTTCACAGATAAACTATAGCCCTGCAAGAAAAAGTATGCCTTAAATCCTCCCCAGCTCTTTTCAGATCAATGACATGGAATTACTGTGTCTACAAGTGCCACAAATTCTGCCATTTCTAAATAACTTTACTTTCTCAATGTAAATTAAAAATTAATTACAATAAATTAATTTTATATGTTAGCACTTGGTAGCGGGGTTTTTTTCCCTCATGCTTCATTTTAATTATGATGAATACTAAATAAATAGGTAAGATTTTGCATCTAAATAAATGGAGTGCAGAAAATTAGGCTTATCTATCTAGTTATTATTCCATTATTTATTGGATGAAGAGGGAAATATAGTGACAATTGATGAGGTAAAGGCTGAGGAAATTAATGCCTTCTTTTCCTAAATTTTTAACAGCAATATCAACTGTTGTGGGGGTATCCAGCCCCCTGAGCTGGAAGACAATGATGGGGAGCAGAACTTAGTCTCCCTGATCCTGGAAAAAAATGGTCAGCAACCTGCTGCAGCGCTCAGACATGCACAACTGTGTGAGACTGGAGGGGATACACCGAAGGGTATCGGGTGCTGATCAAAGCACTCCCTGAGCCTCCTTCCCTCATCAGCAGTCCTGCCCAACTGGGGATGTTCCTGTTGACTAGATGTTTCCAAATGGGACATCCATCAACAAGATGGGCAAGAAGGATGATCCAGGAAACTACAGGCCTTGATGCTGGGGAAGGTCATTGAGCAGCTGGCTCATCCTGGCCTGTGCCAGCAATGGTGTGGCAGCAGGAGCAGGGCAGGGATTGTCCCCCTGATTTGTGGTGAGGCCACACCTCAAATCCTGCGTCCAGTTCAGGAGCACTCACTTCAGAAAAGACATTGAGGCACTGGAGCAGGTCTGGAGATGGGCAATGGACCTGGGGAAGGGTCTGGAGAACAAGTCCTGTGAGAAGCAGCTGAGGGAGCTGGGAGTGTTTAGCCTGGAGAAAAGGAGGCTGAGAGGAGACCCTGTGCTCCCTACAACTGCCTGAAAGAAGCCAGGTGAGGGCAATCTCTTTATCCAAGTTAACAAGTAATACAAGGAAGAAGAAATGGCCTCAAGGTATGCTGGGGAGGCTCAGATTAGATATTAGGAAAATATTCTTCATGATGAGAGGGTCATGAGTCATCGGAACAGGCTTCCCAGGAAAGCGGTGGAATTACTGGCCCTGGAGTGCTCAGAAAACATGTGGGTATCACACTTCAGGACATGGCTTATTGTTGAACATAAGGTGCTTGGCTTGGTTAATGGTTGGAGTTAATGATTTTAGAGATCTTCTCCAAATAAAACAATTCTGGGATTGTAGTAAGCCATTTACTCTACTCATTATATATCTGTATACAAATAATTACTTATTTTAGGCATAAGCTAGACTTCCAGAAAAGTATTTTTTCTTTTCATGTTTCAAAGATTTGCATGTATATTTCTTTCACTGTAAAACTCTTTAAAGTTTTTACAAAAGTGCTGAGTAACAGATAAAAACTTCACCTGGAAACAAAGAGCCACCACTGAAATTGTAGCCTTAGAAGGACATTGAATAAAACCTTTCAATTATTTGCATTTACTGTATTTAAGTTCCTATGCTAGGCAGGTCCCAGAGCATGTCAACAAGATTCCCACACTAAGATGAAATTAAATTAGAAGATGTGCTCCTGAAACACACCTGATTTGCCCCAGCTGATAGGAGCAGTGTACTGTAACAGACTGAAAAAGCAATGCTGGAGCAAAACTCAAGCCTCCAGACCCTTCCCTTTCTACTCCTGCCATGTGCATGAAGCGTGGGTCTTTGGCCACATTCACTGCTCTGCAGACACACTTCTTCTGGAGCAACATCATCTCAATACAGTCATTATTTAGAAGATCAGGAATGAGATTTGCATGTTCCCTTAACCCTTCATTTATCCTGTCAACTTCAGCAGCTAATTCTCAGCATCTCAAGCACTTAATTACCTGCTTTTATGAACTTGAATTCACTACCTTTTTTACTTAATATAGTAAGCTTGACAAAAACAAGAGGCTCAGGAAGATTTAGCATCTAATTAGCATCAGACTCCATGCAAATATATTGCAGTAGAAAACAAGTCTACTGGGGCAAAACTTAATCAAAACAAAGCCAATTCAAGTAAAAGTTGACTTCTGCAAAGGTGGTAAAAATACTAATTTAAATATTTCTCTGTTTGTGCTTCTTTACTATCAGATTAAACAGCTTTAATAAAACAGTGATTAATGAAAAAAAATTTAGGTATTTGAGAGTGTGTTCCTTCTGACCTCAAACTACTGACATAATTATGTCCTCCTTGACCATAACATACAGCCTTACTTTCAACATCAAGACCATCTATCTAGTTATGTATTTCCCTTCTGTATTGTACATTTGCAAACCAGTAGAATTCACAATGATGTTGATATATTACCTGATAATGCAGTAGATAAAAGAGAAGCTTATTTTCAAAGAAGCGTCCATAAAAATATCATTAATAAACAGAGGGATGTAATTTCCCAGTAACATTTTCTAGCATAGTTAGGTTTAAGTTGGAATTTTAGCAAATAAAGCATACCCATACAGCAAACGTGTCTTTGGGCTTTTTTTACAAACTTCAAACTTTTTTTTCAAGCAGGCTTTTTTTAAAATATAGAAATTAATTATTTCAAAAGCTAATGAACAAATATATTTTGCAGCAAAAACCAAAAAAAACCACCCCCCCAAACCCTCAATCAAAATACGTATTTCCAAACAATCCCTGCTTCTTTTCTGTAATAGCATCAGTAACCAGCTGCAATCACAGAGGTCTCAGTGAGTTATTGTTGTCTCTTACCCGGAGTTTGAAAGTTAAGGCGTCGCAGCTCCACTGGATCTGTGGGATGGTGAGAGGGGACCTCCTTGCTGTTGGGTATGCTGCTCTTCCTAGAATCAGATTCAGCCCTCTTCCTGCATGGAGAAGGTGAATACACATAGACAGACACATTAGCTTCACAAAGGTGCCAAATAATGTTTGGCATTATATTCCAAAGGCAAGATGTTTATTTCTGAAAAAGTATTTGATGCAGTGCAAAGGTAATATAATCATAAGTGGTGGGTACGGTACCTACAATTTGCAGTGGTAAAATGGTCAGAGAGAAAATAGCTGCATTCTGCCCTAAACTGCTCTTCCAGAACATCCTTCTGGTCATCCTAATACTTTACTTTTATAACATTAAGCCTATAAAAATTCAGACGATTCTCTGATTTTAAATGCTACCTAGCTATACCTTATACTTTTATCCCTTTATAAAAAAGCAGCAATCTCTTGAGCTAGACCACCCCAAGTTACTGTGATTAAATGTTTCTTATCCTATACACATAGCTCTGCATGCTATACAAAATAATTTGCATTCTTTAGGTATTTTTAATAGGAGAAAGAACATTACAGAAGACACCAATTAAGAAGACATCTATTCTTTTCACTTTCTAGGATGTAAGAATTTGCTCTGTTTCATCTCTGGAAGAGCTGAAATAGGCCATCCTCATATGTCTTATCAGGTCTACATATATTCAAGGCTTAGATCTGTATGAATATTTCTAATCAAATCAATGCTTTTACTGCAAAGGAAGGAAAATAAAACAAAAAAAAAATCAGACAGAATTAAAGAGATAAAAGAGAATGAATGTTGCCTATGTTTCCCTTTCTCTAGAGAGAAGCAGAATCCATGTGTGTTCTCAATGACATTTTTGCTAAAGCTGACTTTTGTTATCTGTGTGTATCTGATGTAAAACATGGATAACTGTGTTACATGAAGAGTAGCTACCACTCTGCATCTTTATATGTGAAGTGGAATCTTTCTTCACAAGTTATTTGTGTCGTCCTGAATGAGAACACAATGGGGCTGTTATTTTTTATGTAACATAAAATGAAGAAGCAAACAGAGGAAGAGTTATGTTGTGAAAACACAACTGAGATTATTTTAAGAGTAATGATAGCAGTGTTTTCCGGGTGCCCAATATTTATTTTAACATAACACTTTCTTTTTTCCTCATTGACTCATAATGATAAATCTGTCATTACTCCAGTCAATTTCTTGCTGTTTTTGAAATAATGAAGACCAGGTGATATATTCTGAGATTCCAAAACTTATGAAAAAATACGCCTGAAATTTTGAAAGTCCCTAGTCCTATGGTTGTACTGGAAAAAAGAAAAAGTTTTACTGTAAAAACACTCCACTTGCTCTCCAGCACACACCTTAACATATGTATTAACTTCTCTTTAGTGAAGCAATAAAAATTTAAATCTGATTATTCTGTTTTACGTCTTCTTAAAACAAAATTAGTACACATAAACACAATTGAGGTTCCTTTCTTTTGATTTTTGACTATTGAAAACTCCTTTCACAGTAGCACTTGGCCCTAGTGCTCTTCCTTCTTACTGAAGATGTGTGACATAGCTTTCAATAAGTCTTGTGTCCTGTACTTCCTTCTCTTTAAGTCTAGGAGTTGTAATATCCTTAAGTTTCTGCAGCTGTCCAGGGACAAGCTTCATTTAACTTTTTTCCACTTGGAAGTTAGTACCAGGCTGCAATTTCATATTAATCTAATAAAACCACTAAAATATCCTCCAATCATGTACCTGAATATTTAGAGTACTTATATAATAACAATGGTTTATTACAAATTATTAATTGGAGGAACATTGTGGTTTTTTTAATCTTTCCAGCCTGTAGAAGACATCTCAATTCTTCCGGATTATGCAACGATTCTGAGATAGGTGGGGGAAAAAATTCCAGAAAGGAAAAAATATATCACTGTATCATTGTCACTGGTAGAACTGTAAGTCAGTGTTTATGTATATGGGACATTATGAAGATTCAGAGCAGCTAATGCCTCAACTACAACCATGGATTCCTTCAAGAACTTTGATTATTGTGTACAACCACTGCTTGCACAGCACTAAAACACAAATAAAATCAAATGAGCATTGTCAGGCTCTGCTATCTCCTGAAAATTAACCCCATGGAGACATAAAAAAACCTCAGTGAAAATTTGCTGCTTGTATTACACTGCTTTTCAGCACTGTAAATAACATAGCAAATCTTGAACTTGCTCTCATTGACAGATTACTGCCTACATTCACTTAAGACTGACAGATGCTTTGTCTTAGATCATTATCATGATGGCTTTTTTTTCTTTTTTCTCCTTTTCTGTATTAAATGAAGAGTGATTATTTTTCACTTCTCACCTGTCAGGTTTACTGCTCCATTTTAATGCAGCAAGGAGGGAAGAAAAGGTGAAATGTTAGTTGACCAGCAGCACAGAGAATAATCATGAAAACAGGAGATACAAGAAATTTTGATTTGCAGTAAAGATATGTAACTAAACAAAATTAAGCTATGACAGCTCATCAAAATATTCAATGCTTGGAAATTACAGAATAAATGGAGGATCCAAGGTCATGTCCAAAGTGAATCTTCTGTTGAAAAATACACCTCTATCTGCCAAGAAATTAGACTTCAAATTTTAACCAGTGAGACAATGGGGAATGGGTGTTTAATTTGAGCCATGAAAGTAATCTTAACATTACATTGAAAAATTACTTCTCACTGAGATGTAGCTGCCTCTTACTTTCTAGAGAGAATAGAGATGAGAGGAGGGAAGAGAGGAAAAATGAAAGTGGAGGGCAGAATGGGAAGGAGAAAAAGGGAGAAGCGGAAGAGAAAATAAAGTGACCAACAAGGTTTAATTATGACACACATAAGACCTGCACTAAATTTAAAAAATAGTAACAAAAAGAAATTAAAATTTCTAAAACTATTTAATAAAACCAGGTAATAAAATAGCAAGAAATTTTTAACAGTACCCTGGAAATAAAGGGAATCATAAATCTTTTTCCAATGAAGTATTACACGCCTTTTTAGATTTAGAATGAATGCCATTACTAGGGATCTACTGTGATCTGTATAGATCTGTAGTGATCTATGACTGTAAAGTTTAGGTAAACAGGAAAAATAATTTATTATCTCTCACCAATGTGTTCTATTATACACAGACACTATAACTATAGTGTCTCTCTTTCTCTGTGTTGATTATAACAAACAGGGGTTCAACAAACATTTTAATAGCTTGTACTCTGCAATGACCACATTGCACACATAGTATGAGAAAGTCTTTAAAATTCTTCATCATCACTTAAGATTTTCCATTTTCTTGTTTTGCATTTCAGTGCTTTTTAACATCTGGGGTTTTTTCTCTTGGAAGCATGTTTCTTCTTATAGCTCAAGATTCAGCAGGGGACCAGCATTCAAAGAAAGAGATTCTGCCTCTATACTCCACATTGGCGAGACCCCATCTGGAGTGCTGCATCCAGGATTGGGATCATCAGCAAAAAAAATACATGGATCTGTTGGAGTAGATCTAGAAAAGGGTCACAAAGATGATCAGGGGGATGGAGCATGAAAGGCTGAGAAAACTGGGATTGTTCAGCCTGGACAAGAGAAGGCTTTGGAAGACTCTCTTGCATCCTTCTGGTACCTGAAGGGACTTTCCTGTAAGAAAGATGGGGATAGTAGAGCCCATAATGACAGGACAAGGGGTAATGGTTTTGAAGTGAAAGAGGGTAGATTCAGACTAGCCAGAAGAAAAAACATATTTTTTTTATGATGAAGGCTATGAAGCACAATTTAATTTGATTCCCCAGAGAGGTGGTGGATGCCCTATCCCTCGATACTTTCAAGTCCTGTAGATGGGGCTCTGAGAAACCTGACCTAGATGAAAATGTCCCTGCTTATGGCCAGGGGTTGGACTAGATGACCTTTAAAGGTCCTTTCCAACCCACACTAATCCATGATGCTATGATTCAGAGTGCTGGAGCTACTGTGTTCAAAAGATTTAAGTTTAAGCTACAGTCTTCTGACCCAAATCAAAAAGCTGCACTTGATAAAAGCAAATAATACAAAGTCTGTCAAGATGGCTTTAACTTCCTTAGATATGGAAAAATCTAGAATGAGGAACCTTTTGCTCTTTGTCAATGGAAAACTGAAATCAGGGATTTTGTGATTTCTTAAAAACTACAAGGAATATCCACATAAAGTAATTTGTTAAAAGAAAAAAAAAAAAAAGAAAGATACACCCTAGACCTGAGAATGAGATGACAGGATGCATCATGGGGACAATTGCTTTTCTCTCTAGTTTGTTTATTTCTGAGAAACACCACACAATTTCTAGAGCTCTTTAACATTCACTAATTAAGTTCCTAATCAACCTAATCCTATGTAATTGAACATGTATCAAACATATAAAATATATGTAAACTGTGACTCAAGCAGACCTCCTAATGGTTAGGCATTTCCTTGAGGACACATACCATCTATCTATCTATCTATCTATCTATCTATCTATCTATCTATCTATCTATCTATCTATTTTTGCTTTTGTTTGAGATTTTGGATACAAATCTTACTGCACTGAGTAAGACACTCCATCTTTGAACACAGATTTATTTTCTTGTCAACAAGAAGATGGCCAAAAAGGAAGCAAGATTTATTTAATTTACTTGAATCTCTTGATTTGATTGTTTATAAAGTTTAATAGATGGAAAGATCTGCCACAAAGTAGGTGTCTCTGTTTACTATGACTGCAGGGTGGTTTCACTGCTGCAAGGACAGAGAACACTGAACTGGTTAATGGCCAAGTCAGTTCCATTTGCCAAGACATAGTCAAGTGTAACTCAGGAAAAAATAGGTTTTACTGTGAGGACAGTTGAATATGAGAACAAGTTGCCCAAACAGGTAATTGGCTTTTCATTCTTCACTATACAAAACTTTGTCTCTGAGCAAACTGCTGCAGGTGACCATGCTCTGAGCAGGGCTGAGGTGAAACACACTCCAGAGGTATGGCCCTTTGATTCTGTGAATCCATGGATTCTTCTGCACACAGGAGTGTGAAGAATTGGTATGGAATATGGTAAAATTCCATGAAATAGATATGGAATTATGTTCCATAATTGGCCTAATCTGTGTTGGCTATAATACCAATGACAAGAAAAGATACTCTTCAGTATTGTTCTCATCTATTACTGTTTCTTACTAAACTGGAATGACCTTTTGGTTATATTCTAATATATGATCCAAAAACTTGTCCATGAAATACTTTTGCTTTCAGATTTTAGGAAAAGAAAATACAGAGGCAATAACCTTTTTACAGCCTAACAACAAATAATAAAGAGTTCAAACATGCATTTCTTGTCTTTGGAACAGTTTAATATACTCCAAACCGACCCATGAAACTTATCCACACTATCTAATAATGCCTGTTTTAAAGCAGGGGAAGACTTCTCCCCATAAAATTATTCTTTTGGAAACTGCAGTCGTAATTTCTCTGTGATTGTAATTAAATGTATAAGTAGTATTGTAAATCATGAGCTTAGTGGTCCAAGTCTGATCAAAAAGGTTTCTATGGACAAAGGGAATTAAACATAGTTGACCTTTATTTGAGTTACTACTCTTTGCACTTCAGGAGACACAATCATTTACCGGTCACCCTCTTTGCACTGCACATTCTTTAACAAAATCATCTGTAATTTTTTTTTGCATATATGTTCATACCTGGACTGATGCCCTCTACCTTAATTTTCTTTTCTCACTATCATACTTGCTGCACTTATACCCCAATATAGGCTAGATATATACTTGTAAAATTTTCTGTATCCACAAACATTACTCGTTTGCCAGTTTCTTTAATATATTTCATCCAACTCCTGTAGCCACATTAGGTCCATTTAACTCACAAATTAAACTTCACTGTTTTCTTGAAGCAATATGTTAAATACCCCAACTGTCTTGTCACTGCTCTTCTACAGTCAGCACATCTATCAAAATCTAGCAGTAAACTTGCATTCAGGTTAACTTCTCTTGGAAAAGATATCCTATTATATACTAGATTTTTACAGAAATAAAAGCTCATAGAGGAGCACAGACTGCTAAAACTGCAGTCATAATTTCTTGGAGGTAATTTGCCAAATCGGTGCAGTTTAACAAATTAGAGTAAACAGCTGAAAATAGAAAAATAAATAAATACATATGGACAGTTGCCCAAACAGTTCCAGTACAAGTAGTAAATAACAGATGGTAAACATGTCCCCCATTCTTAGTGAACGACAATCTCTTCACACTACTGATGAGCAAATTTTACCTGCTCATATGAGGAATATTCCCTTTTCTTTTTTTTTTTTTTTTTGGTAATAGACTAGAAGATTGTTATTTTAGTTCCATAAACTAAATCAGTAACTCTCAAAGTAGTTGCACATCTGCTTAATATACTAGTGTTCAGATTTCTTTTGCAGTATGGGAGAAGATTTGCTTTTAAAATAATTAGAAGAAAGGAGTATTTCACTTTTAGCACATCTCCAATGACCAGTTTTTGAAGCGACTGACAAAAACAGAGTTGGTAACTAATTTGATGGGCTGAGACACCGTTTCTGAACTACCAGAAACATTCAGGAGACATGGTATTTGCAAGCAACAGATGCTGCATGATTCTGGCCCTGAAACCATTCTATAAGTGTATATCTATTCGGAATCAAAAGGTGAAGTTAACTCTGGAGTGGTTACTGACTGCCAAACAGAGAATTCTTTCCAAAACCTGAAGAGAGCTCTCTTCATGAAACTTAAGAGGTATTTGACCAGAGACACCAAATGTGGAAAGAGCATACAGGCTCAGATTTAAATATTTATATGCCCGTAATAGCCTCATAGCCATTGGTTTTAGAAGACATACTTAATTTTATAAAATTATCCCTAGTGTGCCCCCTCCTAATAAATTGGCAGCAGCTTTGTAATATTCCTCTAATCTACTTTATCAATATATTTCAAAAATGTACTAGGAATTAAATACAAAGATTAAAAATAACCTTTTTGAGTTTTATTCTTTGGTTTTGGTTTAGTATCTTGACCCATGTTAACTCATTTGCACTGTAAAAGCCTGCTACATATAAATTATGGGATCATATTCACTGAATATGTTGCAAGACAAAGGGAAGTCCTTTGTGTAATAGCAAAACTAAATCTGTGTCATAGAGAGTGAAAGAAGAATGAGTGAAATTTGATCTCATTGCAAGATTAGTACAAAACAGCTATTTGATGTCTCTTTAATCTCTCAGATCAGAGCTCCAAATTCATATAGATACATTGCCAAATTGAGGCCAACTGTCAAAAGTTGAAATTCAAATTACTTGAGTGGAGATGAAAATCACATTTAGCAACAAGCTGAATGTAACCCCTAATGCATTACTATTATACAGCTATAAACAAGTTCTAAAAAGTCAAATGTGCAAATTCCATACATATTTATGTGCGAGCTCATATTTACTTTCTTCGCATACAAATGTATCTTTGCATACAAATGTATGCAAAGTGGAAAAAACATTTAAATGCAATAGTGTTAATATAGTATAATCAGCATAAAAATGTACTCATATACCTGTAATTATTGAAAACTTTCAGTCAAAAATTTGTGCAGCATGCTGGAAGCCATTAATAAATTTCAAAATGTTCCAAAGCAATGACAGTTAAGATTGTAGTGCAAAAATACAGTGTGGAACAAGTACTACAAAGTGACCAATATAGAGGAGAAATGACATACCTTGCAAGAAAGCTAAAAGGTAAACCTACCTTTTATAAAGAAGTATAGCTATAACAATACAGATGATAAACACCACTGCAAGAACTGGTCCAACAACCCAAATCAAGCCTTCTTCCTCGTCTGTAATTGGTTGGGGATCAAGATCCATTGACACAACAGGATCTGAATATGGGCTTGTTGCATACATGGTCTGGAGAAATAAAAATAGTTCTTAATCAGAAAGCAATTAATATGTTAACTATCCCACATCTAAAATAAATGTATAGAAGGTAATGATGCAATGAGGACAGCAAACTGGAAATGCTATTTTTCTTGAAAGAAATACATAAACTTGAAAATTGAACAGTGTGTTGTTATTATAACTTTTATTTTGTGTTCCACATATTAGAAATGACCTGCAGACAAATCATGTAGCACAGTCCTCACAGAATACTTTGCAACCTAAGGAGAGAATGAAAAACTGAATAGGACACTGAGAAATATGGCCCACCAGTTACCAATTTTTGGGTTTTGTTTTAGTTTCATACTGGTTTAACACTTTGTTCCTGCGGAATATGAAAGGGTACTTGAGACATAACAAGACTGCTATAGATAAAAATAAAGGGGACTGAATGTAGGAGGTTTTCTGAAAAGGGTCTTGCAATGACAGTACTGTTTTTGACCAGTCAAAAACTGTCTGACAGAATGTACCTACACAAGGTGGAGACAACTTGAACTTAAGACTGAAAAATGGGAGAATCCATTGTAGAATATAAAGGGAAGCTAAACACTCAGCGTTTCATAAGGATTAAAATAAAATTATGAACCAACAGAGGTTGTTGAAAATCTTTGGTTTACTACATGATGTAAAGCCAGCTGGCCTAGGATAAAACCCATGATAAAGAGAATTCTTTTTTATTCTTGTCTGACCTGAGATGTTTCATCTGTGGCTGAGTACAGAGTTAAAATTACAGACTGGAGAGGCTGAAGAGTCAGCCTGCTGAAACTGGATCATTTTAAGAAGTCTAAATTACAGTAAAGTCAGAAGTGCAAAATTGTTTGTACATATTTCTGTTTGTGCTAGTGTGTCTTCATCTAGGATTTGAACAACAGATCTTGCAAAAGACTTAAAAACTTGATTCCATGGTAAATCAGAAATGTCAGCTAAAACAGAATAAGATAACTGGGAGAAGAGATTAGCTTCCATTTATGTTTGCACCACATTCTGAAAGATGCCCTAAGCCAGGACAAGTGTTGTCAAAGGAGACATGTTTTTTTACACTTCATTTGGCCCTGTTTGGGCTCTGGGCTATGATAGTGTCTGGGTTTGAGACAGGATTAGGACTGGAAAAGCTGAGGCACTTACTTACTTTGTGTTACTGAGCTAGCACCCATGCCAACAATCTCCAGTTATATTATAGCATTTTACTACACCTGGCATCTGGCACCAAAACCTCCCTATATTTTGCGCCTATGATCATGGTCTGGAAACTGGGGAGTCTTCACGTTCCATTCCTGAGCCACTCAAGTAAACTGATTTTTTTTTTTTTTTCCCTCAGGTTTAGTACTCTTAAGAAATAAAAAAGGTTCATTGCTCCAAGAAGAAACTTTTTGTATTTCCCCTCTTCCTTTGGAGTGGATGGCAAAAATGCCTGGAAAAAGATATAGAGGGATATTGAGGGTAACAGTGTAAACACTTACTACCATTTCTTCAATAAATAGGACTTCACTTTCAATTTTAAACCATCTTGTATTAATGAAAAATTAAACTCATTTATTATTTTAAAATTTTATCTTATTTTTTTCTTCCTCTTGATGACATTCTTAACATATTTATAGATTTTAATCACAGCTCTCCAGCTCCCATTTTACTAAGTTAAACAAATTCAGACCTTCCCATGACCTTTTTTAATTCAAGCTCTCTATTCTACCAATCAAGAGAGAAATTTTGTGCTCTCTGAATAAGAAGCCTTCTGTAAAACGTAACATCTGAATATCAAGAAAAATGTCCCTTTCAAGTTACATCTGTAGAACCTGTAATGCTAGAAGAAAATCAGCTAAATATGCTGGAGCTGATACACTGGAGCATTGAAAGTCATGGAAAGCTGAATCTGACACCCCTAAATAATTCTTCTCAGTCTGTGGCTACCTCACGCTACTCAAGCACATAAATGTTTCAGATGGCATGCTGAAGTGTCTTATTGATAGCCTAAGTTCAGTAATGTCTTTTGAAGTCTTTCAAGAGCAGGACCCTATATACATTTTGCTATACGTGTCAGTTTACAAACCAGTTTCTTCCTGCTTTTTCATCCTGATGAAACAACACAAAACAATACATTCAGGTCATTTATACCTTAATTAATATAAAAACCACAAGAAACTGTACTTTATATTGAAAAGATCCATTTTAGTACAGGTAATTTATGACATACAGATTTATGGCCTCTAATTTATAGTAAAAAGCTGTCTACCTTCTCCAATCTGAACCTTTGTGATGCAACACCTTCAGAATTATCTGTCTATGCAGCCCATGTCAAAAAGTGAAAAGAGAACTTTTGATTTATGTTACAGCTTGCAGGAGGCACTTTATTTTCAAATGAAGCTAAAGTGTCTAAAAGTATTCAAAGTGGAACTACCTCCTCACTGTGCCTAAGTAGGCACATTCCATTGACACCAAGAAAGCAAATGCGGCATTATACACCACAAGCATTTGACTAGAATTCAGATTATTGGTGTTGGAGTTTCAAGTGATTGAATCTGCAAATGTACCTGTCAGGTTAAGATACAAATTAGAAACATACTGTATTACACACTGTATGTTAAAATGCTAATGTGTATTGCATCTTTCAAAAGTCTTACATCTGTCTTTTTGTCTTCTTTTTTAATAAATTACATGCATTAGGTTAATTCATGCATAAAGGGATGTGACTACAAAATGAACTGTGTAAAGGGAAATGACAGCTCATTTTTTAGTTGGTTTCTTTTTTTAGGAATTTTCCCTACTACTGAATTATTTTCTAACTTTCTAACAATTTACAGATAAAATTGTTATGGAATGACTGTAGCTAAAGAGGGTAGCTGTGCACGTCTCTAGTTCAATGGATCTTTACAAGAACCCTGTATATCCTATACCATTATTCAATGGTAGCATCAAAAGAAAGCTTTTAAATTCTTTTAAATACATAGAGAAAGATGCTGCTGTAAAGATCATGTCTCAGAAGCTGTGTCCATAGTCAAAAATAGTACACAATGTAATTTTCAAAGGATCATGACACAGTCAATAAAAGCTGACTCTTAGGATTCAGTTATACACTGAAGTAATACACAAAGGTGCAAGCAGAACAGAAGAGCTCAAGGAATTAATGTGCATTGAGTAAGGAAACACTCACTTTAAAGATGCTCTGACATGTAATATTAAAACAAAGCTTTAGGGAAGTGGAATAAACGTTGAAAAAATGCTTCCGTGATTGTGTAAGGTAATTTAGATATTGAAAAACATGAACTAACTTACAGATTCTGAGTGCTCCATTACAGCCAATACAAAGAAGACATATTCTTGACCACTCTGCAGTTGCTTATTCTCAAATCCACCATAATGCTTCTTATCCCCCAATGTGAATTCCGTGGGAAGAACTTCAAAGTGAGCTGCAATATATGGCTTTAATTCAACTTCCCTCCCAAGACGAATGCTTCTGCGTTTCCTAGCTATCTCCTTAAGCAGCTTTAAAATGAAGGAAGGGAAAAGAAAGGGAGGGGAGAGAGAGAGCAAGCATGAACAGAACGATAACTGTAAACAATTTTAACGTAACTTATTGACAGTGTAATGAGAAAATTTAATGCATGACCAGGAACTACAAAAAAACAATTTATCCACATTTCATGGGATATATCAGTATCACTAAATCAATTGCAAAATCTTCCAAATTCTTGACATTCTTGTCAGGATAAAATACAAGGAGGCAATTGCACTGCTCAGACTACAAACATAAAGCAATTTTGAGATACTGTTGCATCTAGGAGGAGGTTGGGAGAGGATAAGAAAACAATCTATTTTCTCTAGGGACATATAAATACACATAACATATTACATATTATCTATCTATCATCTGTCTATCTATCTATCTATCTATCTATCTATCTATCTATCTATCTATCTATCCATCTATCTCTATATTGAGTCATAGAATAGAATCATAAATCAATTGCATTGGAAAGGGCCTCTAAGTCTGGTTCCAGCCACAGGCATTAACCTAACACTGCCATGTCCACTCTTAAACCATGTACCTAATCGCCAAAACTACACATCTTTCTGAATACCTCCAGGAACGGTGACTGAATCAGTTCTTCTGATAAACAAAGCTAAAATTTACATCAGTACAAGATTAGATGCTAGGCTCAAACTTGGAAGACATACACTTATTGATAAAGGAACTTAATCTCAGCTAGTATAATCTGTTGATGAATTACTTATTAAATCAGACAAATGTTTCTTCAATACCTTTTTTTGCTTTACATATACTGGTATTCCACAAAAATTAGTCTGATCTGATTACAAGGAGTCAGAACTTCTCCTATGTGATAAACTATGACTTCTAAGGTTTCTTTGTGACTCCCTTTGTTTTTTGCTTATGAAACTTACATAATGTCCTGTAGTCTTAAAGTTAAATCACAAATTTTTCTAAGAAGTTTAGTCTTTTCAGCACACTAATGCTTCTAATACAGCAGATTAGCGCAAAATTCATTTCTAGAGAAGGAGAAGGAGACAAATCTCTGGAGTGAGAAGTAGATTAAGAAAAAAGATACTAAAATCCAATCTTAACTACATATATTAATTTCAAAGTACGTTTAGTCAGGGAAGTTCTCCACAGAATCATGGAATCACAGAATATGCTGAGTTGGAAGAGACCCTCAAGGATCATTGAGTCCAAGTCCTATCTCGGCACAGGACAGTCCCAAGAGTCATTCCCTGTGCCTGAGAGCTCTGAACTCTGTCATGCTGGTGCTGTGACCACTTCCCTGGAGAGCTGTTCCAGTGCCCAACCACCCTCTGGGTGAAGATTCTTTTCCTAATATCCATCCTAACCCTCCCCTAACAGAACTTCAGACCACTCCCTCGGGTCCTGTCTCTGGTCACCACTGAGTGAAGAGATGTGTGCCTGCCCCTCCACCTCCCCTCATAAGGAAGCTGTAACTGCAATGGAGTCTCTCCTCCGTCTCCTCCAGGCTGAATAAACCAAGTGATCTCAGCCACTCCACATATGGCTTCCCCTCAAGGCCCTTCACCATCTTCAATGCACTCTTTATTTAGGCCCTAGCTTGGTGACCACACCTTTTTGTCTCCCGTCATGGTATCTTGTATTTTGCAATTACACAATTAACAATTGCAATGCATGTAAAGCAACATAATATTCACTCTGCTACTCAGAAAGGAGCTTTTAATACTGAATAATTTGATAACCCTTCTCACTGACTAAATTTAAGGTTACAGATACATATGAAAGCAAGTCGTGCCACTTGAATCCAGGCTTCCTTAATACTGAGGGCATTTGGATGTTATACCTTCAAACATCTATGCAATAAACTGCTTTCCAGCTCTAATGCTGTGTCTGTGCCCTGTTGCAGAGATTTTACATCCAGTTACTTCTATCAATTTCAATGCCATGACACAAAAGCTGGTACAGTGCAATGGATCCCCTGAGCAAAAAAAGAACTGGCCATAATTTGAGACTAGAAATCATTATTCATTACTCAAGGACACTATTCCAATCAGCAGTCCATATTTCTCTTTCATTCTTCCTAAACAGTTTAATGAGCAGCTAGAGTCTATTTGCGTCGTATAAAAATGAGGGCAGCAGAGAACTGTAATATTGAAGAGATTTCTATTTAGTTACTTTATTGAAGGTGACTCTCACATCTGTTGGTAGCTTCCTATGCCCTGGGAAGAGTTACTAAATGCAGAACATGAGGCAGAGAACAATCAAAGTTTGTTCCAGGTTAGATCAGCCCTGATAGGATCTGCTGAGGGAAGCACTATGAAAAGCTTATTTCTGTATGATGCCAAATTTTATAACAATGCCTATGCAGAGGGCTGAGCACTGGCTATCTGGAAGTCTGCCAAAACATGAAGCTAAGTGTTGGGGTAGTAACAGTGCACGCTAGCCCAAAGTCAGGAGCCACAAACACAACAGCTCTAGTAGAGGTGTATGGCTTGTGCTATCCCCGAGGGTAACTGATACTTCCATGCACCTCTTCCACTGGAATTAAAGTTGTGTGTCTGCCTCAATTAAATTAATTGTTCTTTATCATATGTTTGCAGATTACAGTGTATTTACAATTTAGATTATAAATAACTCATAATAAAATGTCAAAGTACGGCAGGAGTACAGCAATCAAAATTAGATTGAGAGGCAAAGAAAAATGTTTGATCTTGATAATTTCTTGCATTTGAAATAGTAACAGAAAACATACATATTGGAAGAAAATGGAATGATGAAGTATAGTATTAGAGTGATCAGGAACTGAGTTTAGGCAATGAACGCTAAAAGTTAGTTAGCCTGAGACAAATAAAATTAGTTAAACTTTTCAAAGGTGGTTATACATCACCTAAGGCCAGTTAACTTAGGTGTGTTTGTGTGTAGATAAAAACTTTGTAAGATTGATTACACATGACTGAGTAGATCTCAGGTGAACCTCCAGCCTCAGTAATGTTTCATATGGAAATGGGGTTGTTGCCAAATATGATTACTTCTTCATCTATCTCCTATTGTAAACTATACAGATTTCAATAAAATTACAGAATTCATTTAAGACTTAACATGGCAACCTTTATTTAGGTTTTACTGCTTACAGATATAAAATAATCCCAGTAGGTAATACTTACTGCAAATCATAATTTTTTTGTTTTTCATTTGGTTGCATGATGTGTCTATTTAAAGTCACTGAACCTCATGATATTAAAAAAAAGAAATTTTGAGTTAGTAAAAAAGGACTGTATCTCTAATAATTTTTTTTTCAGATACCAAACATCTAGTTCATTATCTGCTATTTTAAAACTATCTTAGTTTCTTTCAGAGTTGAGGTTCAAGGAGCAGGTAGATTAGGCAACTACAATAAGGCTGAAGAGTCTTTTTGGACTGCTTAGTTATGTAATGGAGTTATACTCAAGAGCTGCGTTATTAGCAAATACTTTCCTTCTGACAATCTATGAAAACTATTTGCAACATAGTTCTTTGAAATATCTATTACCCAACCAATTCTGATACCAGACATATATCTGAGACCATACTAAAAATATAAATATGTACAAGTATCCTCACTTGATCATCAGGAACTATTTCCCCAGACAGTAGTGGTTTTTTGTTGTTTTTGGGGGTGTTTTTTTTTGTGGTTTTTTTTTTTTTTTTTTGGTTGGTTTTTTTTTTGGGTTGGGTTTTTTGGGGGTTGTGTTTTTTTGGGGGGGCTTTTCTTGTTGTTGTTGTTGGCTTTTTGGGTTGCTTTTTGTGTGTGTGGTGTTGGTGTTGTCATTGTTATTATTTTTTTCCACATGTATTTATTGTGGCACTGTGTTCACAAACTTGTCAGGAACAGCACACTTGATAAAATACATACTTTCCAAAGCTGGAAGAAAACCAATATTTTAAGTAATAGAACCTGAATGAGTTAGAATGATATGCAGTTGCTGCCTGCTTTTAATGTTTTTCTCTGCTCAACTCTTGCTATATGTATTGGTGGCAATTGTAAAAGATATATCAAGGGATTCAGTTCTTTATCAGAAATAACTTCATTTTCCACTCAATGCATATTTGATTTCTTCCATCATTAATTCTACAATGTGGTCTCAATTATATCAATAGAGATGGGAAACAATGCATCCTGACGCAAATATTTCTGAATTAATAAATGTTCTTTATCAATCTGTTATACCGACTAAGGCAACACAACTTGCAGGATGATTAAAATGACCCTTTGTTATGGGAATCAGCAGGAATCATAGAATTCAATTGCCAGAAAGTTCAATGTCATCTGGCACCTATCCTTTAATCTATTAATGCTGCTGAATGTGACTACAGCCTTTGGATGTTAAAGGTGGGTGGTAATACTCAATCAGTTTCCATTACTGTATAGATGTGGCTGTCAGAGTTTTACTGTTTAACTGTATTTGATGTCACCTATGACTATGATCATGAGCTGATGGTATTTACAGTCAAAGTTCTTTTAAAGGGAAGAAATTAATAGATCAAAGTGAGGCATTGCTGCAATTGAAAGAAGAGAGATGATCACACAAATGAAACTGGTCAAGAAGAAACATAGGGGTGAATCAGTTAGCCATCATGCCTTCCTCTGAAAAGTTGTTTTTAATATTCTGATTAAGGATTTACCTGTTGTTGTGACAAGGACTGAAATAATTCCATTTGTATTTCGAACACTTTCTACAACACTGTTAGTTTGGTGAAGATATTTATTTTCCCTGTATTTTGGGGCAAAATTTGAAATTTATATCCATTTTGTCAATAGCAGGAGAGAAAAGAACATTTATGCTTGCTCACAGGTGATCAACACTTCCCAGTAACTGTGTTATGGAGAAGCATATGGTAAGGTTAGCTCTGTAACATAAATCTCTTGAATCCACCAAGAGAAAATAGAAAAATAAATTGATAAGGTCAAAAGAACACTATCAGGAGTGAAAAAAACTGATTCTGGTCTTTTAATTGCAGACATATTACACGTACAAAGTACCACAGCATTTAAATGTTATCTAAAATCTTGGCCAGATACAATGAGAACAATAATAACACCATCACCTGCTTTTTATAAAAGTCTCTTATAGGGGGCCCTTGAAAGCGTTTTAAAATCACAAAAATTAGCATTACTACAGCTTTACAGACTGAAAGAAGAAGGACAAGTTTGCACGAGCTATAAAGTCCTTCAGTAAAACAGAAAATGGGGGTGAATATTGTATTTCCTGTAATTATTACTATATCAATTATATACTGAATTGATTTCCAGCATTGCTGGGCTTATTTCTAAAATGAAAGTAATTCTTCCCCTTGGATTAAGGTCATTTAAAGTTTCAGACGATGACACAATGCTGCTCTTTCCTTCCTTGTTCATGCATTTATTTCTGATCACAAACTGTTGGTGGAATGGAGGCTGTGTCTCACTAGAAGTATTACAGTATATGACAATGGTGTAAAAACACCACCAGAAGGTCAAATGTTAAACTGAGGTGCAAATTGCAATTTAGCATTTGTTACAGACTTAGTAAACACCCCTGTAATGAACCAGACCTTTATTACAGTTCATATTGTTGGTGATTAAGCTTTTGCTGACAAGTCATTTCACCTCCTGCACTTTTGCATCACTCTTTAGAATAGAAAAAAAGAGTAAAATATTAGTGTCAACAAATATAATACACTGTGCTCTTTATTTCAACTTAATGTCTTTACTGTCTTCTCATTTAAGTAATCTGAATTTTTGTTTTAGTCTCCACAGGCTAACACAAATATAAAGTATCCTGACAAAACTTTTAAAACTGGTGAGTTAATTACCTAAAAGGAGAAAGATTTCTTCTTTAATAAAGGCGAGGAAAAAACCCCAAACCATATACAGTACCTCATCTAATTCCATTTCATCTGGACTCTCCCATGGTTTGATAAACTTTCCACGAGACCTCTTCAAAGGCACAATAACTATGTAATAGCCTCTGTAAATGACAAAGTTGGACAAAAGAGAAGGTGAATGACAAGGAACAGATAAATTGATGGAGTGAGTCTGTTCAGAGGAACTAAAGAGAAAAGTGGTATGTTGAGAATAAACTTCTGCACATTAGTATGTCACTGCAGTCTTCCAAACATAGCTGTAAACGTTCACACTTTTGCAATAACATCAGTTGTAAAGCATTTGACAAACAAATGGCACCAATTACCTGCCTTTTTGTGCAAACATATAAATATTTATAAAAAACTTTAATTACAATGTACTAAAATGCCGACATGAAATATAAGAACCATAGGTTATGTGTGCCCTGCCACCATCACACTGAAACAAAACCCCAAAGCCCTAAATTGAAATATATTACCATATATTTAAATCTCAATTACCAACCTATCTTCTCCCATTTTAATGTATAATCAAAATAGTAGGTTTAAAAAATTTATTTTTTAATGCCAATACCATAATAAAGGGAAAAGAAAGCAAAGAGGACATACACTGCACCCATACTCTCTTTCCTTTTGACAATCAAATGCCATTAGCTCTATCTACATAAGTATCCTGTTCACAGTCATAGTTAAGAGAGCTTGATACATACTCTCTTTATATCTAGGATTTGCAAATTATATATATCAGTTTTGCTCAGTATTTTCCTAATAATATTTTCTTCCTCCCCACCCATGGAGACTAGTAAATTGTATTTTCTAGTGTGATGGAGATCTGCTACTTTTATTGCTTACTTCACAAAGCCTGCATATGTGTCAGGCAGATCCATAACTTCACTTTAATGTGAGGGAAGAAGCAGTGGAATCACAGCAGCAGGACATTCAGGGTAGTATATGTCTTCTTGATAAACACACTTGTCACAAAGCCAAGCTCCCTCCATATCAGGGGAGAGGGAAAGAAACATTTTCTTTGTTTCTAGTAACAAAAGCTTATTAAGGTATTTCTGGGTCTCATTATGGAAGATAATTTTAGTGTCTCATGGGCCATCTCCTTTTCCAGTCTGCTTTTTTTTTTTTTTACAACCCATTCAACCTTCTGCAAAACTATTAATTTTACTCATGAAATGCAGCTGAAAATCCTAAGTAATTAACGAAGAGTCTACAGAAAAGGAGCTGCCAAAATGCTGGCTCAAACCCATCTCAGTCTAAGCCAACACTAAACTATCATTTTTACCATACCATTGCAAGCCATTGATCCATTTTAATGATCTCTTCTTATTTAAATCTCTTTCCCATAAAAGAAATGTAACAAAACCATAGGTTTTAGAGAGTATGTGTATTCGCTAATACTTGTGTTAAGAAATTTGAGGAAATTTTCAGTGGAAATGCTAAGCTCCAACAGGAGCACTGGAAAGCAGTGTTGCCTATAGATTTTAAACTAGTGTCCACTTGCTGTATTCCAGTATTTCAAAAAACATCTGTGGCATGCATTCTCATAGTGACGATATTATAAATAATCTTTTAAAAATATTAAAAACTGTAAGGCTGGTTGACCCCAGGTTTTAAACCTGCATTTGTCTATTAAAAATACTTTGAATTTTAAATCCTAGTAAACACTGACTGACATACCCTTTCTTTAACAGATGTCTAAGAATCAAGACATAAAGAAATGAAAACTTTCAAACATCAAAGGCACATACTTATCCCCTTCTTTTTCTTCATCTTTTTATTTTTTAAGCTAACAGAGGAGTCATACATTTTTCTTTTCAATCGAAGAACATCCAGCACATAATTGTAACTTTCCCACTCTTTTTCACTTCCCTCATGAAACTCTCCCTCTTTTAACTCTGAAAATCTAATAAGACTTCCAGCACACACAGAGTAGTTTAAACTGAAAGAATAAGCAGATAAATAGTAAGCACAAAAATGAAAATTTTCACACTAATACGCAGTGCTGCAAATTGTGAGGGATAATAAAGTTCTGTGATTTTCAGTGAATTGCACAAAATGTAGCATCTCCTGAAAAACATGTCTTATAGTTTACTTTCTTATTTGCTTGTTTGTTTTTTGGTTGGAGGTTTTCCTGGGAGAGAGGAGGTAGGAAGGTGAGAAATAAAGGGTTTATTTGGATCTTGTTCTATCTACTGAGTATTTGAGAGGCCAAAGTCTTCCACAAAACTCTGTTTTTACTTAAGACTTTTCAAAGATGTAAGAGATTCAGAGAAACATGAACTGTCCTTTACGCATAAAAATTGCTTTGGAAATAGCCCAAATTACTAAGAGAAAGAAAAATTAAGAACTTGCTCCCTTGAGATGAGCAAAAGAGATAATTTTACTAATCATAAGGTGAGCTCTGCACCAATTTCTATCCTGTATCACCATCAAACGTTGATAAATAATACCTTCTTTAATTATAAATATTACAAAGGCTTTTATAATATTACCCTCAATCTCATTACCTATTCTGCATTAGAGCAAACTATTACCTGTTTCACTTTGTGTGTAATTAGAATTATTCAAAAATTCTCAGTACTTCATTGTAAGCTAGGGACAATCCTCAGCATATAATGTACCAACAGAGGAGCAGCATGTCTAAAAATGTCAACATGACTAATACATGAAATTGTTCTTCCCATATAAAGACTAATGCAGAATAATCTTACTTATTTTATTGGGGCAAGCATCAGGTCAGGCTTACTGTTCAGTATGTACTTGCTTTGGTATGCTTGCTCCAAGGGTCAAGTCAGTCTTCGTTGTTGTGTTTTACTTTATCAAGCCTGATCAAATCTTAGAAAATAGATGCAAAAATAGGAGATACATTATTTGCAAAATTGGCAGTTGGACCATATAGATTAAATATACCTTTTCTGATGTCACTCAGCCTTTTTAACTTTTTTACACTATATAAAAAGAAGGGAATTGTCTTTCATTCCAGTGCTATCTTCTGCTGCTGTTAGATCAGCTATCCTGCACATTTTTCTCTCTGTGAATGCTCTGCCTCATAAATCTTTTTTGACTCATTCCATCTTCAGTCTTCCTTAGCTGCATTTGTTACTGACCGCATCTTACTCAATCTAATGATAATGACTACATTTTTCAGTTTTTCATCCTTTTAATGTTTCAAAGTCATTTATTTCTTGACCTTACCTGCCTCAAAATCTTCAGTCAGTAATGAAAAAGGGGGCAGCTTTCTAGAAAGCTGTAAAAATCCACCAGGGAGACAAAGTTGAATTCCCATCATTTAGTGACCAGCTCATTTTCCTCCCCATTTCCTTTACATTATATATGGGAACCTTACAGATCAACAAGAATCACTATAAGCAGAGCAATAACACTTATTGATTGTTTCATGCTTCATGTTTTCCTGGCAAATCTTTATTGTCTAACCTTTCTAATCCCTGCTGACCATGTGCTCTCAGATCTTTAGTCCTGTTTCTGTTTAAATTTCAACACCACCTGTTCCCTTCCAAAATCTATGTAACCTCTGGAAAACTTCCAACTTATTGTAGCAAAATCTCGTTTTCATTCTGAGACAAGTGGAAAGGGCAAGTATTTTTATCCTGATAAAAACTATCAGAAATAATTAATCTGAAGGAGTTTAAGTGCAGTATCAATTCTTTAAAACTCAATATAATTCTTGAATGATGCAGTCTGACTACATCAAGGAGCTACAGCAGGGTAGTTATGCATTGATGGGTATCTACTTTTTTTGAGATGATATACTGTTCAAAATAAAACTGGTTTTCTGCATCCCTGATTTTGCAGTCCATGATGAAACACAAAAGTACTGCAAGAAAAATCAGCAAACTGAAGCACAATCTGTCCTTATACAAGTCCTACATACGTGGCTATGAGACAAACTTAAGCGTTCTACTTGGAACTGACATACAGTGATCATCTGTTCCCATTACCTCACCCCTTCAGGGGTGACCAAAAGTTAAAACAAACTAGAGCATCATCCAAATACCTCTTAAACACTGACATGCTTGGGACATCAACCACCTGACTAGGAAGCCTCTGCCAGGTTGAAAACACTCATAGTAAACAAATGCTTCCTAATACATCTGATGCAGCTCCCCTGATGCAGCTCTGAGGCATTGCCTCATGTTCTATAAGTGGATCTCAGCAAGAAGAGATCAGCAGCTCCCTCTTTACTTCCCCCCCTCACCCCCCTCAGGAAGTTGCAGAGAGTAGGTCAGCCCTTAGCCTTCTTTTTTCCAAACCAGACAAGCTCAAAAACCTTAGCAGCTCCTTACAGGACATTCCTTTCAGTCATCCTATCAGCTTTGTTGCCCCCTGTTGAATGTACTCAAGGACCCTTACAACAGAATTTGACATTTGCTCTTAATTTTCATGCCACTCATGACTGCCCAGTGTTCCAATCTATCTGCATCCTTCTGTAAGGCCTCTCGCCCTTTGAGAGAGTCAACAGCACCTCCCAGTTCACTACATCAAACATTACACTGATATTAGGTCAAATACTACTGCAGAGCACTGTAGTCTCTGTACTGTTATAAAGAATAAAGCCATGGTTGAACATCAAGTTACAACGATCATCTCTCTGGAGCTAAAAGCAATGGTATGTCATTGATTCACTCACTTTATATTCTCATTTGAGGGTACTTCTGGAAGTTCCACAGTTATCATGCCATCCAAGTTGGTCTTCCCAATGAAGACTGGCTTTGTGCGAAGCACGTCTGGGGCAGTCTTTGCGGTTACTCTGTGCTGAAGACCCCCAGCACTATTCCCTCTGTTTGTCAGGACAAATGAGTATGATGTCTCTGGCTTCAAGTTTGTGATCAGCTTTTGAGTGGCACGTCCATCAACCTCCATTTTCCCATCATCATAAAGGATCTAAGTTAATATACAAAAGTAGTTTTGGTTATTAGGAGAGGTCACACTGAATTCAGGAATCAACCTACCTATAAATTTAAATAATAAATAAATTTAAAATTTTTTGGGTATTTTAGGGTGTAAAGCAGAACGGAATTCACTACCAAAAGTAAGCTTCTCAATTCCAGGGGAAAAAAAAAGTACTACATTAATATAAAGCAATGTAAACACTCCTGAAGTCCAATTTCACTTTTTCAAAGTAAGCAGCTTTTCTTGAACCCAGAATTTATAGCAAGGTACTCTTGTTAAAAGTATCTTGGTTGTTTCATTCACACTCCTTATTTAGAAAGGTTTTTGTACCATTTAGTTCCTAAAATACTGTTCTTCACTTGCCACTGCCTGAGATGACACAAGTGATTAAGAATGAAGCAGAAGAAATTCCAGGCAAGACTGCATGTTACTCTGAGTCTCTGTATCCAGATAAAACTATAGCTAGTGGAGTAAAAGAATTGCAAATCAAAAACATGCTGTTGTACACTGAGGAGGCAAAACCCAAAATGGTACTCTACTGCATTCTTTATTGAAAGGACTAGAAAAAATAAGAAAAAATTATTTTGTTTCATTGGTTTTTTTTTAAATACTGTAGTGGTGAATGAAAAATTAGCCATCTTAGAAACAACGATACCCCCAATACATATTCACGATTCATGTTCAGTAAGCTAATTTATCAGGTAAATACATTGTCTAGTGTCTGTCATTTTCTCTTGTACAAATGGAAAGTAACTTACTTTGAAAGGCAAAGCTGAATTGTAGTTTTCTGGAATTTCCCAGGACAGTAAAACAGAAGTCTTCATTACTGCTTTAACATGAAAATTTTTTGCAAACACTGCTGGAAAAAAAGAAACAATGTATATAAACAACATCTTGGAGCTTAGATCTTCTCATTTTTCCACTGTTCCTTGGGAGTATTAGGTCATTAGGTTTCCATTTAGGTCAAAAATCCCAAAGAATTCAATTCTCCTACCTGTTTGTTCATATTTAAATATCACACTTAAACTTGTTCTCACTCTTATCCAGTGCAACTCAATACACACATTTTCCTTACCTGAAAATGTTGTGAAGAAGTTAGCCAGAACTTGCTTGGCAAGGGACAACTGAATTCTAAGGCATCCAAAACATATTAAGATTTACATACTTTACCTTTTGTGTTTGATGAACCTATTTTTATGAATGGGCCAGTCAGTTTTTTTTTATACCTTCAAATACACTGATATCCAAAGACCGACACTCCTTTAAAGGTCAACGCCATAAGCAGACAAATCCTACCTTGATCCACGGGTAGTGTCCTGAACTGGACACTTGGACTATATGGACCCGGCCCTTTGCTTGTGTGGGCACGTACTTTTACATCATAAGTGGTATCTGGTTTTAGGCCAGAAAGTGTCATAGTGGTATCAGCAGGAACAACAGGGAGTTCAACTGGCTGGTAAGCAACATTGATATCTCTGTACAAGATGGTATACTTGGTGATAATGCCATTTCTTTCTGCCAAGAGTGGCATCTGCCAAGTTAATTGGACTGATGTAGAAGTAGAGCTTTCGGAGTGGAGATTTTGGGGAAATCCACTGGGTACCTCTTCAGGAACAGAAATCTCTTTAACCATCTCCTCCCCAAAGCCCACTTTATTTCTAGCTGAGAGCCTGAAGACATAAGAAGCTCCTTTGTGAATATCTGTGGCCGTGAAGTGATCTTCCTTCTCTGAGAACTCCATGGTCGTTAAGGTATCCACATCTTTGCGGCCAAACTTGAGGCGATAACCCTGCAGCGGGCCAAAAGTTTCCACTGGAGGATGCCACTGAATTAGAGCCGTGTTCATCTGTGTGTGGCTTATCACAAGCCGAGGTTTGCCTGGAACTGCAGCACAATGTTATTTAAAGAGGATAGATATAAACACAAGTGCACCTACAATCCTTGAAGATAGTTTTTTTTAGCAGGAATAGGGATATGTTTACTCTTTCCTCACTCTCAGTTCCACATATTACTGTCCTAATGAAGAAATAGTATCTGGCTCCTGCACTATTTAGTAATACAGTATAAGGAACTGCAACAGTAGAGACATTTACTGCTATTGTCTTCTTCCCTTACCATAATTTCTAAATACAGAGTATATTCAGAGGCACAGGATCTAGGAACACAAATCAAGAAGTAAACTTCCAACAAACGTCTTATGAATGGTCCTGTCTCAAAAATCCTTGTTTGCAAAAAAAAAAAAAAAAAAAAAAAGTACTGTCATAAGTTTTCATGTACTTAATCCAAGGCACATTTCCTGTAAATGGGAAAATAATTAAAGAAGAAGTAACAAGTTTCTAGATAAGTTAACATAACTTTTTCATTAAGAGTAAAAATGTAGTAGAAGTCAGAAAGTCAAAACAAACTTGCCCTCAAAATCATTACTACACAGGACAAAACCCAGTCATTCTAGTTTCCATATATAAATCACTTCTGTCTCCACCCTTTCAGTGTGGATAGGTAATGCACTTTGGAATTTAATATTTTACAGCATGGCTTATCACATATTATTTATTTTACAGCATGGTTTTTGTGCACATGAACTGGATTTCTTTTGAAGAAGGCCAAATTGGTAGTTTTTCTTAAACTATACACTACATTCAGTCACAAACTTAATTGGGACCCATTGGTCTAACTGGTGATTTGTCTTTTAGAGAAGTTCAGACTGGTATGAGTCCAGTGATATGGACACTGAGGAGGAATTGAACTGAGTCAGTCCAGAGAGGAGTGAATCTTAATCAAGTGAGAAATACCATTATAGAATTTATATAGTGTACATTTTTGGAGTCCCAATATGAATTCTCATTTACTGGTTCTATTTAATTGATTCATTAATTTTAAGTTAATCATATCCATTTGTATACACTTCTGTTTTACTTTCATCAATACCTCCATTTCAAAAAAGTCTTTTTCTATTATAGTGATTTATTTGGTAATGAAACATATCCATAACTATTTAGAAATCTGGTGCTCATTCAGTACCAATGCTTGACAGGTCAAGAGACCAGAATAGTTTTGGGAGTAGTACTGCAATGGCAACCCAGTCTTCAACAAAGACTAATTAGTTTCATCTGCATTCGAAGCCTTCCCATGTGAATGTAACTGCTGCACTGTGAGCTCTGGTTCCTGTATTTAAACACTTCAATAGGTTTTATTACTTATCTTCAGTTCTCAGGCAGCCAGCAAATCAGATTGTTATTGTCAGAAGGTCTAACTACCATTGCATAAAGAATTAGGAATAAGGAGGGAAGAACAGCATGCCTTGAAGAAAATTCTGCATTTAGTCAGCTCTTTCCTCATTACATCTGCCATAAGTCATGACATTTCTTCTAATTTCATGAGAATTATAGGTAGGTTTTATATAATTTTTCCAAATTTCTTTAGATTTAAATGTTGAGTTCACCTGGCAGCATTATTGTGGAATCTTGTGTTTTCCCACATTTTCTGCTGCATAAAGAATATCCCTCTGATTAGTTCTCACATTTCCTCAATGACAACTGAAAGTCTTTATGGAACAAAGATAATCCTGTGAAGGCCTTTTGCAGACCATATTTTCCTCTGCATTCTAACTATTACTGGCACAAAATAATAGTTTACCTAAAAAGAATAATACCCCTTCAGTTTTCTAGAGGAGAGATTATTGGAAAGTATAACTAAATTATTTTTGTAATAAATTGCCTTTTGTTTTTTTGTACTTGTGGCAGACTTCACAATTAGAATGACATTTTAACCTCTGAATAACTCCAGAGAAAGGAAGAAACTAATACTTGCTTTGATCAGGGAACTAATAAAGTTTACTTATTCAATGAAGTACCCTGTGACTATAATAGTAAATAAAAATGGTCACTTTTTTTAATACTGTAAAGCCTATCTGATGTTGCAAAGCAGATAAATTTCTTTTTATTTCTAGACAGCTTTCAGTTAACATTTACTTTCAGTATGACTTACTTATGAACATTACAGTCTTTTAGGACAAATGACAGGATTCTGTGCAGTTGTACATACAGCTGTGTCACCAAACAGCTCTGTCTAGAAATTTCTGATAATAATCTAAATTTACCATGAGTGTAAAAGAAATGAAATTGTCAATAAAATAAAATACATTCTCTGATCTAGTGAAATCCTCTTCCATTAGAAAATAGCAAGATATCTTTCACACACCCCTTTGCAGGAGATATTGCTGTAGCAATGGCTTGCCACCACTAGTACAAGCTCATGCAAACTGCCTTTGCCAAATTACCTGAAATAAGTGTTTTCTGTTAGCTGCTATAAAGCACACCACTGCCTTAATATAAGCTTTCATTTTCTAGCTGAAATCTGTATTTCAAGATTGCTGTCCAGTCTGAAAGCAAAAGACAAGTAATGGACAAGCTATTGTCCTATGAGATTCTTCAACTACTGTGACACAGAAATTAAAGGTCTGATTAAAATCTTCATAAAAATTGTATGATATCACTGACTAGTAAGTCTTCATTTTTATCAAGGTCTTGTTAATCATACATTTTTTAATTTCTGCCCCAAGTAATCTACTAAGTGCTTTGATTTAGAAATGTTCAGTAACAGTTTTTGTTCCATCTGATTTTAACAGTGAGGAAAGGAAATTGAACATAAGACAAAAACACACTCTTGAATAAAAGTATCAGCTGCGTTCAGTGACTACACCAATAATTGAGTTACCACACTATAGGCTTACTTGGTGAATATTTCCTGCCTAAAAATGTAAATCATACTTTTGTATCACTAACTGGACAGTTGAAGAGTTACTTATTGTCTCACAGAATACTTTACAGATAGCTTCTCTAGTAAAAGTTCAAACATCTATTCTCCTTTCATATCTTTTATGGATATAATCTCAATAAATCTCATTAAAACTTTAGATGTTAGATTAGAAAGCAGATCCTTCATTTTATTTATTGTAGTATTCCAATAGCACCTTTCTAGGAAAAAAAAAAATGGAGACTGAGGAGACTGCATTACAGACCTAGAGTCCTCCGATGCTAACGCACCATTCCTTCCCTTGTGTGATGCATGCTCACAGAAAGTGAGCAGGAAGCTCTTGGTACTGACTATAGTGAATGTCTCATTTTTCAAAAACCTGCATACAAATTTTTCTTACAGAAACAGCTCAAGCACAGCAAGCTGTAACACAAAGTGAAGAGATTTCATACAATCTGGAATGTATGAAGGAGCAGAATGGTAACCAGCTCTTAATCCCAAGAACAAACATCACTTGTTCACAGGTTTAAGCAAACAACAAGAACAGTGAAATATGAATACATTTATAGACATGCCTCTGATTCTCCATTGCTCTTCAATCAAGTTCATATGGGACATAGGATTTGTTCTGTTTTTTTTAAGTAGAAGCATCAGAGATCTTGGTAGAATGATACATGAACAGTCAACAAGGACTAAATGCAGTGAAACTTTAAGTTTTGCAAGCATATTTCCATAACCTATGTTTATGTCTAGGAACTAATAAAATCTCAATTTATATAACTGTGTTAAACTGGGAATTTATATAACTGATTAAACTGGGAATTTAGCTTTAAGAAAGAGTAATGGATCAAGTGCCTTTTTTTCTTAAATCAAGTTCCAATACATGACAGAAATAGATATCACCTTTTTTCTCAGAGTATGGGAATTCAGGAAAGATAAGAAGTTAGAGAGTATATTTCAGCAATAGCGAAGAGTAATAACTGGAATGTATTCTAAGACCTGAAATGAAGCACTGTGTATCTAGCCACCAAGACTGAGATTTTTCCAAGGATCTAACAAGAAAAGCTTATAGATGGTTTTGATATTAATACTAGATGTGTCCTGCATTCAGTGATTGTTTTAAAAATTGAATCAATCACTATAAATACAGAAACCTTTTGAATTTTATCTATTAGCATAATCAATATGTTGTTATTCAGAGAAGTTGTAATGGTACTGCAAGTGACTGTAATAGAGTATCTTTAATGCCGCGCTACAAAACCCTGAAAATGAACACAGTACCTACAGATTGTGAACATCTGTAGGTAAGCATGACACTAAACCTGGGTTAAGCTGTGCCACAGAGACATATTAAAAAAAGAAAAAAAAATTGTTCCTCATATAAAAGCAGTTTGGTTTATGCCATCTGTGCTAACTGCTGTCTTGGTTATGCAGTCAGGATATCCAGCCTTTGACACCACCTGAGACTGAACACGGTGGCAGACTGAATTCTGCCCCAGTTTGTTCCTAAAATCACCCCTGAATCAATATAGGCTTCAGGGTTTCACAGGATGGAGTTTCATTCTGTTTTCCAATTCTCTGCATTAATAATTACATTCTTCTGAGATAAGTTGGAAATCTCATACAGATGGGTTCTTTCAATGTTTTTACTAACAGGCAGCAGTGCTGCTACTTTCACAAAGATCATGAAAGCCCTTTACAAGGTTTTCAAATATCCTTCTGAGCTGAGGAAAAATTTAAATTTTTTCCTCTCAAAGAAGACACCAATTTTAGTGGAAGAGCTACTAAAAACTATAAAGTGACCTCATCAGGAACTAAGAAAGGGATAAAGGGAGTCACTTCTCTATTTTTATCTAAATAAATGAAGGTCCAAATACTGAAACAGAAAATCCTATGTCCTAGAAACACTTTTCACACAACAGGAGATTTTCAAACAAAACAGTAGCAGAAAAAGCAAAGGATTCATTTAGAGCTCAATTTGTGCATAAGTATTACCTGCACCAGTAGTAGATACAAGTTTGGGTTTGCTGCGTGCTCCGTCACCTTTAGTTGTATAGGCTGTCACAGTGAAAGAGTATGTGGTTTCAGGCTGAAGGCCAGAAATTATCATTTCCTAAGACGAAAGAAAATAAAATAAGAACAATTAATTTAAAATAGATTGTTTGCCAGGAGAATGTAGAATCCTTTAGAAATCCATTTATATCACACTTTTGAGCTATTGGCAGTAATAGCAAGCATGTGAATGCACCAACAGACTGTACTGTGTGAAATACTTGATAATGCCAAACATTTCACTCACTTAAGCAATAAAGGACAGCACACATCCAAACAGTATACCTCAGGTAGTTTAAAGCAAAAGGCCAAAGGCTCAGTGGTGTGAACAGCGAAAAAAAGTCTTCCGAAATACCTTGCCTGAGGAATACTACTGACACTGTGAAACACATGCACATGCAGAAATGAGAAACTCAGTTTAACTTAATCATTAACAGGATATCACAGGTATAGTTTTAAAATGCCTAGTAAGAGAAATGGGTGCATTTACATGCACATTTTTAAGTAATATGGTTTAGCTGAACAAAAAAGCCTTGTTACTTCCATAATACTTTCACTGCAACCTGTGTCACTGGATAGGCTGCACTGCTCAACACCTTAAAGGACTTCAGAAACAACTAGCCCTTCAGCTCTAAAAAACTATGTAAACCACTAAAACTCTGGTCAGGGGAAAGATCTGGTGCCCTGAGAGGACAGCAGCTACAAAACAAGTATCTCCTTAGCTAGAGCAAAGTAACAGCAACATCAAACTGTATATATGAGAGCAAGGGTGTATCTTTCCATATGTGCGTGCGCACACATGTATATGCACACAGACGATGCTGAATGGTGTACGAGAAATGTACTAAATTTATGTCCTGCTACAGGGACTGCAAGAGAAGTAGTTTTGACACTCCTAATATAAATAAATCTCATATGTAGGTATAAAAGGACAGTATTTGAAGGTAACTGATGGGCCAGGAGTCTCCAGCTTCCAGTGGACTACTCCTTTGCATGTTCATAGGGCTGAATGAACTTGCACCATATTGCAACGATGCCAGAGGGATGGTGAATTTATACACCTAAATAAATAGCAAATGTGCAATCACACATCCCTCAGATGCAACAACCATGAAAAGTTAATACAAAAATCATGGGCCAGACTATTCATAGCATATGTATTTTTCAAGATAGTGGATATGAGCTTAGTAAGTACGTGATTAGAATTCAGCATTGTATTTACAGTTAGTTATTAGCAATATAGAAATAATTAGGTAATGATCAGAATGAGTGGGCAAAATAAAGTAAAAAAAAAAAACCAAGTAAAAAAAAAAAACAAAAGCCCCAAACAATAGAATGAAACAACACATAAAAATCTACTATCAAAAGATCAACTTCTTAGACTCCATCTCAGAATTTAATTGAACTGTAAGACCAAAATCAGTAAGAAAGACTTCATATTTTCATAAGAAAACTGCACCTGGCACTACAAAATTAAACTTTAAAAGGCAAAAAAACCATCACAAAACCACAAACAGAAAGACTTATGAAGACATTAGTTTCATCTAAAACAACCAGTACTTCATGGTGTAAGAGCTATGGCTGTATGTAATGTTTGAAAGTGTCGTTTGGATACAGCAAACATTATTACTTAGGCACAAACAGTGCATCTGGCTTTCCTGATAGCATGTATTTATTTTATACAAAAGAAAGCACAACTGACTTCTACTTTCAGTTACACAAAAAAAAATTTAATCTTAAAATGAATACAGAAAAATACAACTATTGGTATGTAACTCTGAACCACTTCTGTTTTATTTTTCTATCACCTTGTGAAGAAGAAATTGCGAGGCAAATTTACTGACAGCCATCAAAGAGAAGAAAACACAAATCAGTGTTGTACATTTTGGCATCATGCTAAACCCCAGAACAGGTAAGCAACAGTGACCCTACTCTCCCTGGGGTAAAAAAAATAAACAAACAACAAAACAAAACAACAAAGAAAAAAGGTGTAATGAGAGAAAACTCTTAATGTTAGGAACATGCATTTGTGCAAATGCCAAAAAAGCACCCTGCAAAACAACAAAAAAAATACACCCAAAGAAAGCACCCAAAAAACTCCATAACCAAAAACAAAACCATACAGTGCTACAAGCAAACAAGCAAGACAAAAAATATCTCAACCAAAACACACAATTATTTTCTGCCCAGTCAAAAAGTACTTACATGTTCATTAGCAGTATCATCATATTCCCACTAATTTACAGTAAAGGAAGTCGAAAGGAAAAACAAAAGAAATAAGGAGATTTGTAGCCTGGTTGAGATAAAGTTTTCTTCTTTATAATAAAATGAATATTAAAGATGTCTGAAAAAGTCATGTACAGTACGAATTATCCATGTAGAATCACATGAAATTTGGTCATGAACTCAGGCCAGGCATTTTTAATTCCATTTTACTTTCATTTCTGTTTTCCCTAAAATTCAGCTACTTCTCTTTCACTGACAAATAAAAGAAGTAACGAATCCTCTTGTACCATGTAGTACTATTTCACAATAGTTTTTTATTAAAAGTTACCAAGGAAGAATTAAGGGCTACCTGATTTATTTAAACAAGTTACCAGGCTATATACTTCCATTTCCTAAACTAATTCATTAAGTTTTGAAACCACACAGATATTTTACCATCTATGTCTTCATACCTGCACTACCCCCGTTCATGTATCACAGAAGTACTACAGGCAAGTGGGAGTGGTGGGAAGAGAAAGGAGTTAACTATCATTCCTGAAACAGGGGCAAGTGGGCTGGTCAAAGCCATACTTGACAAAAGAAGAAATACAACTTTTGCCTTTATGATATTTGGACTGCAATATCTCATCTAGTCTCCAGTTAATGACCTTCTAGTGTTTACAATCATTTTAATCCCCTACTAGAGAGAGGCTGAAAGCAACAATTTGCAAAAAGAAGAGAACCAAAGCACACCAGCATGTTCCTTCCCTTCCCACTTCCTGATCTACTTTCATCTTTGTCTCCACTGAATTTAAACTGTAAGAACACCACGTTTTCCAAAATAAGAAAGTAAGTGCTGGCAGCAAAGTCCTCCAGAAACAGACACAGTATTTAGCAATCAGGGTCATATGCAAAATGCAGATGTAAGAGACCTATTCTCCAAAGAGGTCTCTGCAAATCTGAAATCAGAACCAAAACTGAAGTAAAAAAAAGGCAACCCCCTATTTGTTTACCCATGTAAAATGCTTACAAAACAGATTTTACTCTTTGATTTAGGTTAATAATTTCTTTTTATTTCCAGTCAATCCAGTCATAAACCGTGAGCTAGCAGTGAGACGCGTAATGCATAATAGTTTCCCACAGGATGACCCCATCAGTGTCAGGAGCTTTGTAAATCTTAATTTTTACATAGTGCTGGAATAACTCAATCAGTAAAATCCTAGATTGAGAAGCTTTTTAAACTGGATGTTTTCATTATCTCATATTCTCATAATTTCTAAAATAGATGGGAAATTTTGCAATATAAATAACCACATACCTATTCAAACAAATAGGTATGTGGTTATTTATATTGCAAAACAAATAAGTTCCTCATTTTATTGAAGCTCCTGATATGAATAATGGAAAGTATAACACCTCAGTGGTTTCTAAAGTTACATTAAGAACAATAATTTACTGTGAACTGTGTAGTAAGGTGCGTACAGGAGAGAAAGAGAGATTCTCCATGCAATCAGAGAAACACTGTAATAACAGACTAACACAGTGTTAGGAGAGCCTAATGATCCTAGGCTCTCCACTGAAACACTGAAATAGGAGATGGGTGGATCAGGCCATGCACAGTTTACTACACTAACTCTGGATCAGATCACCCTGATGCTTTAGAACTTCAGAGGGCATGTTAAGTCTCTTAAGGTTTAACGGAATCAGAACAATGACACAGCCTAGCATTTAGCTGCAGATCAACAGAGAAGAAAGTGTCTTGTTTTGGCCCAAGAACCTTTAAATGCAAGTGTTCTTAAAAAAAAAGTTTTGGAAATAGACACAGAAAATGCTGGCTGGTAGACTGTTCAACAGAAAGAAAAAAGACCCTCAACAACGAAAGGCAACTCTTAGGTACACGAAATGTTTTTGCTGTGACCCAGGGAAGAAGGGAGTGTCCCAGTTACCTGTGCATCCGCCAGCATGATGTCCTTCAGCATGGGCTGGCCCTTTGGCTCTCCGTTCTCCATCCTCACGTAGTGCACCTGGTAGCCTCGTATCTGGCCGTGCTGCTTATTGGGCACAGGCGAGCGCCACGACACTTTAACAGCAGTGGAGTTGACAGCCTCCACCTCGACTTTGCGAGGAGGACCACTAGGAACTGGAACAACATCATTGGACAGAAGAGAATTACAGCCACCTGTCCCACCCATGCCTGTCGCTTTTTTAAAGAAAGGGCAGACTCACTATGTTGTCTTTGAAGAATACAAATCATTCAGCAAATGAAGATGCTCAACAAATCTGCTCTACCTTTCAGTGAAAAGATCAAAAAACATGACTGATGCAAAAAATGGAAGAAAAAGGAGTATTAGAGAAATAGAAAAACATGTAAAAATGTACAAAAGCCAAGGAAGATGCTTTGAGATTCAAAGCATTATAGTACAAAGAGAGATTTTAATCATTGAAATAATAATACTATAATAATAACAAAACCACAAAAGATTAAAAAAAAAGTTGCCCTTTTTTTTGTTTTTCAAGTTCTATGTTTTAGTTTGGTTTGTTTTTTCCTCAGGATAAAAAGGAGGCTGATTACAAGGCTGTCTTCTGTAACTTTCAAGAATGGAAGAAAAGAAAATGTGTGGAGCATCAGTTTTCCAAGATCAAAAAACAAAACCCAAAAAAACAACAAAAAAAAAACCACAACCCAAAAAAACCTCAAATCAAAAGGCACAATATGGAAGAAGAAAGCAGCTAAAAAAAACCAAAAACAAACAACCAAAAAACCAAGACCCGAAAAAAAGTTTATATACATAACTGTTTAAAAATGGCAATGATTGTAAAATCAAGGAAAAGGCAGGAAGTTTTTTCCCTAGGAGTTATTTTTCATTAAAGGAGGAGTGCAAGAAGGATACGTATGGGCTCAAAGGAGCAGCAGATTCATGTCACTTGCAAAAAAATTTTCTGATTAAAAAATACAAAAATACCAAATAGAACAATGGTGTAGAAAGAACAGTCTTTGAATAAAAAGCTCAAAGGGTGAAAATATCTGGTTATATTCGGGGAAAAAAAAAAGAGCAGAAAAAATTACTGTTAGCCTATACGAAAGACAGCAGATGACAGAGTCATAGAGGTGCAAACTGATGTAGTGGAGGCAACATACCATCTTCATCTGTCCGAATCAATACTGCTAAGCTCTCTGGGCCAGGTCCAACATCAGTGTGAGCAGTCACAGAGATCCGGTACTCAGTCCACTTTTCCAGCTGTTCCAAAAGGTACTGGGTACTGTCCGAGGAAATTCCCAAAATTTCATGGGGCTTGACATCTTCTCCATCAATTCCAATGTACTTGATGGAGTATGCAGTGATAATGCCGTTCTGTTTTTCCACCGGTGGAGGTTTCCAACTTACCAAAATGCTAGTGGAGCTGGGGCTTGTGCAACTAATGTCTTGAGGAGGAGCTGATGGCTCTAATTTCAGTAGTGGGTTAAAGGAGGATTTGAGTGGAAGGATAGAAGTGATTGAAAAAAAATGAACAAAAAGAAAAAATAAAAATAAATAAAAGAGAACCAAATGAAAATAATAATTAAACAAAAAAAGTAGAAACTCAAAAAAGCAGAACGTCAGATAATCGTATGCGCCTTGGCTTATTAACATGAGGAAACTGAAAATGAACAGGTGAACTAAATAGTGAAAAAGGATGTAGGGGAAATATATGAAAATGAAGCCTCAAAATAATATTACCTACCTGTAATTAAAATTCTTCTTGAAATAAAACAAAAACGTGATACCTCTATGACTACTGATCTATCTTTACAATCCTCGCAATTAGTGCAAGCTATAACAATGTAAATAACATGTGACATGTATTTACTTACAAATTTTGACATCCCCTTCAAGTGGCGTTACTTTCCTTAAGACAGAAAATCTTTAACAGAGCTCCTAAAAACTTGCAATAATTGCTAGAAATTGCTCCATAGGCTGCCATTTTTGCAGCCTTTCCACTCTCATAAACAAATTACTACTTTTTAAATTTTTTTAATGAGTCTGCCTGACACAAGTTCAACCATAAATTACATTCAAATTGAAAGCATTTACTGAAATATTTATTGTAGCTAACATACTATGAGCATGCAGTCCATAGAAGATGACGAAAGTCTTAGTCAAAGATTTACCTACCAGGAAAAAGTGACAGGCTTGTTGATTCTGACTGTAACTTGTACTTACCCTATATCAGCTGTCAGTTTTATTTTTTTAACTCCTCTTGGAGACACCTCTGCTAGCAAAGAATTATCCTACCAGTAATGTATATTATTTCTACAGAAAAGAAAAAAATCTACCCCAAACAACACGTAAAGAAAGCAGGCATTCATTTTACAAAGTGAGTTTATAAGCTTGACACCTGTTTCTGACTTTGTTTCATCTCCTGTCAGCAACACCAATCTTCCAGAGCAGAAATTTCACCTTTACTCATTTGTTCTCAAAGGAGTACGTTAGCATATTTACCTTCCCCAAGCTTCAGAGCATCTAAGCATGCATGTCATTCTACTGCTTTCAGTGAGGCAAATCTAGTACTGAAAGTTAGGTATGCATTTATCTGCTTAAATGCACTTAGACTTACCAAAATCTATGCTTACTAACAGATCATTCAGAGCACCAAAAAAGGAGCCATAATTCAAACTCACTAGCAGAAGGAGGGGATGTGAACTCCTTTCCTATTTCTGCCTCCTGTCTTGTAAGAAAAATATACATGTTGTGTGCAAGATCTTTTTTCCCTTTTACATCCCCCTCTCCACCTTTTCTTTCAGTTTCTTAAGGGAAAAAAGAAACAAACAGATACTTATACGTACTTACAATAGTCACATCAAACAAAATTAAAACAACAGAGAAGGCCTAGGACCCTGCTGTGACCTACTGCATTTACACATGTATCCTTCGGTTCCCTACAGTTCTTTCTACAGGGATCAATGGCTTTTTACACAGTATGGTACCCTGCTCCTCCAAAGGGAAGATAGGAGGGAATTTACTAGAATTTCAATTAAGTAGAGGAGGTGGAGGGAAGAGCAGATGAGAATTAACACATTTTGGGTTATTTTTATAGACTAATTCAGTAATCAGCTACTCAAAAGAAATGGATCCCCTTCTACCATTAACTTGTGCAGGAAGTGAAACACATGTAAAATGTCCCTTAAGGCTCTTACAAAAAAGAAATAAATCCCTGCAGCATCTCCCTCTGATACAAAGATGAAAGGCAGTGGCACACTCTGGTGAATATTGCTACTAAAATCACAGAAGTTTATTAATTTTTAATCCATTATACTCTGAAAATGCAAAATATTGCACTTATGTAACTGAGGCTAATTTGAAGGCTTACTTTAACCAGTTTTATTAACGCATATATATTTTTCTTAACTGTACATTTTTAAAAACCAAATGTAACCTTTGCAGCAAATAACTTGGATCTGACCACTGAAATCAACTGGATTTTGCTACTATCTGAAGACATGAGGCTGAGCTAAACATAACATATTCTTATATGCAAGGGGAGAAAACAGCAATGTGCTTATATAAGGAACACAGAGCCTTGGCTCCTAGATGTTTGTTTTGTATGCAGTCTAAGCAATCTTCACTCAGTATAAGATAATGACCACTCTAAATGTTGAAATGGATCCCAGAATAAATACATACCTATTTCTTAATCAAATTATTCATTCTGAATTACAAAATTGAAAAATTGCCTTGCCACTATATCTAAAACTAACTTTGTGTTACATGTGCTTTTTTGTGCTTATTCCAAGTGCCTTAAAAATGCTTCAGAAACACATTTAGCTTTGCTTAAAGGTGAGCCGCACTGTGTCTCCAGTCACACTAATCGATATTAATACATAACACTAACAAGGAATGATAGTGCAATCACCTGTCAGGACTGCAAACTAAAAAGACTAATGTCAACTGAGAAACTGATTTTTCTGTTTTGAATTATCTTACTTTAAGAACAGGCAATTTAATTTAAAATAAATACAAATAGCATTGTACTAAGTTTTTCAATGACACACTGTAATGCAAACTGTCAGAAAACTAACTTCTCAGGCAAGAATAATCCTTCTGGACGTCATAGCTGATTGTTTTAGTTAAGTCTTAATTTAAATGTTTTAAGGCGAATATACAAGTTCCTGACAAATTTTTACATCCCAAGGTGGAAATGACTGAACATCATAAAAAGCCTAGATTAAGAAAATTTAACAAAATCAGAACAAGATACTACAGAAGATTTGGTAAGAAATATCTGTTACAGTCTGAAGTATTCAACCTGATCCACTTCTTTGCACTTTTTTGATACAAATGTTTGCACTTTAGGGAGATGCTGCGGAGACAGCAGAGTCTGTCATCACAGACAGATGTGCAGAGTAGGAAGGTGGAACTCTATATAATATAACCACATTCTATTAATGTACACCTACTGCATGATACAACATTTCACCTTATTATAAAATAAAATTTCCTTATGCCAACATTATATTGCCTCCTTAGGCACAAGTTTATTTGGGTTGCTTTTAGAAACTATGTAAAAGCCACTCATATATAAAGTTGATACACCTCAGAACTTCATATTTTAAGCATTCCTTTGCTGTATCAAGCAACATGAATATCATATTTTGCTTTTTTCTCTGTTTCTGTCTACCTGGACTACTGAGATTAATAGAAACAAAGAAAGTAAATATTTAAAGGAAAGACACCTACTTGACTGCATGGTTCTGGCTGAGATTTCTGCTGTTGAGGCACCCAGGCCTTGAGGAGACCGTGCAGCTAGGCGGAACAAGTACAGGCTGTTTGGCCTTAAGCCTTGCAGGCGATACGATGTAGTAGGTTCAGTGGAAACCCGTTGCTAAATGTAGATTATAAGGGAATGTCTTGATTAGTATTCAGAGACTCCGATTTCCCTATGCTGCCTGTATGCTTTTGTACTGGGATAAAACCACAGAGAAAAAATAAAATTCAAGAAAATAAAGCAGAACAAAACCAAACTAAACAAAACCAAAACTGAACATTTTCTGCTGTTTACACACTTTAAGTCTGTCACCAGGCTAACTGCTCAGCTTAACAAACCTAAATATCAATTTTTACTGAAATAAGTTACTAAAATATGAAATTTAAACCATTGCCATATTTTATGTCCAACTTATTAAGGATGACTTAAAAGATGTACAGTCTTGCCACTTACTTCCTCCCCATGCTCTCCATCTTTGTAAACCAGTTCATAGCTGGAAATGGTATCAGACCGTGGAGGTGTCCAGGAAAGCAGTATGCTCGTTTCAGACTCAGGTTCTGCTTTGAAGTTCAATGGTTGACCAGGTACTAAAGAAAAGTTGAGCAGTGTTGCCAATTATTTACTTGGATACTTCAATATTTTCAAATGTTTTAAAACGTTATCCGAATATGGCATGCAATATCAATTTTATTTACCTTACTGAACTTAAACAAATGTATTCACAGAACTATGAAACAAAATTATCTAAGCACAGAAAAAGTAAAATGATACATTTAATTCACCTGTTAAAAATTATCAAGGATTTCAAACAAATGAACTGAAATATAATTGAAGAGATGTCTGGTGATGAATACCACCAATCTAATAACCTATATATGAAATGGCAAATATATACATCTATATATATGTGCTGTATGAGAAAAAGCTAATACAACACATAATTAGCTGCAATAGTCTAGAATAAAATGTTAAAACTCTTACATGCATTTCCAGACATTACATTTTTTTTCTCAGCTCATAAGTGAAAGACAGTAAACACATCCTGATCTTTAAGATGATATCCACATAAAAAACCCAGCTTGTTTAACCTGAAGTAGTTATAACCTAGTGAAGAGACATTCAGCTAATTTCTCATTAAGCGAAGTATTTCCACCCTTAATGACTGATATATTTAAGAATAGAGTGACAACACTTTCTAATTGCAAGAAGCATAATGCACTTTTGACTGCACTAGTCAATAACATTTTCTGTGGCTGTATCTTGTGCAATGGTCACAGGAATTATCCACACCAAATGTTATCCTAATTTGCTTCTTCAAATGTGAAGCAAATTATAAAGTTGACTATGAAAAGATAGGAAAACATAACTATATCATTGGATTGTGTACAATAGTTTTGGCACCCAAGTTCTAAAACATTACTTCCAATTAATAGTGCCATTGATAAGGCATGAAACAGTTTTCCACAGCATTTCTAGCTGTTCAAGAATAAAATGTGAGATGCTCTCATTTTTTCAGGTGAAAAATAAATAGATGTACTTCTTATAACACACTGAGAACAGGTGTAAGAAGTAGGATGTGACAATAATGATGGTTACACAAACATTTATCAGAATTCTAAGACAGCATTACAAGTATGTTCATTTAGTACAGTAAAAGAACCTAAAAACTTCAGAGAGTTAACTGTTAAAATAATTTGCTATTTTCATTTTTATCTTCCCCAGACTTCTACAGAATACCAATTTGAGGAGAACACTGCCCTTGGGTATTCTGGTGCAGATTTGATATCTAGCTTTCAACAAATAGAACCTTTATACATGAGGTGAATATTCTTCCAGCTCCTGAATGGACTTTATTAATGAATGAGAGAGAGAAAGGAGACCAACTCTTTTACAGGAATAAAAAGGGACAGGACTAATTAGATGCTTTTCTAAAAGGTGTCTGGTCTCAAAAGAGAACACTGCCTGGGTCCTGCAAAGTGCAAAGAGGAAATGATCCCAAAGCATGGGGAGCCATTAGAGGAAACATCAACTAAGTGTTTGTGACAGATTTTAATTTTACAAGGACAGGCTGCAGGGCTGGCAATGGGCCAGCTGGGAGAATGGATGGCTCTCAACAGCACTCCCAGCAGTGACAGAAGGAGTGGAAGAGATGCAGCCAGGCTCTTCACAGAGTGTGGCAGGTGAGAGGCAGTGGCACAAGCTGAAAACATGTGAGGCTCAGGAAAATGCAGAAATGCAGCCAGGGCCTAAGGAGGTTAGACCATACCAGCCCTGGGACGTTTTACACATCAAATGGGTGAAGCCCAAAGAAGCTCAGTCTGACCCCAGAGCTGAGCCTGCTCTGGGCAGTGGCTGTGGCTGGACACCTCCTCAGATAATCATCCTGCCAGCCTGGCTGTCCTGTAATTCTGTGATCTTTGCTTAATGTATGGATACATGCATTGTAGAACACAGCCAGGCAGTAATAGTAAATGATCAGTCAAGTGACTCATATGAAAGCTGGTACCATCTGTTGTGATAAATATGGCAGCAGATGGAGAACTAAGGGTATTTCCTGACTCTCTACATGTTTTAAGACCCTCATTCTCCAAGTATTCCTTTTAGAAAAACTCAAACCCTTTGTCATCTTGGGTCTGCAATTCTCAATCATTTTATAATACAAGCTGACTGGACTTTTCCAAATGCTGTTTGTCAAAATAATATCTTGCTTTCAAATTTAATCTCCCCTTGGATTTTTTAACCACACTTAAGACAACTCTGATGCTGTAAACACTGACAGAAGAAAAAGGTGACAGGGAAGTCTGCATTGCTCCAAACAGATAAGAGAAGATGACAAAGAAAGAAAACAAAACCAAAATAACAGAAACTAAACACACCTTATTGCCAATAAGCTCTGGTATGAACCCAGTACCAAAGTAAAACTCAATTAGTTCAATAAGAAACCAGCTTTGCAAAGGATGATAGATTGATCAAGAGAATTTGCAATCAGTAGGGAACCTAAAGGGACCAAGAGTTTATGCTTCTGATTTCTCTGAAAGAAATATGAAATTCTACAGAGGAACTCTTACAACTGAAGACCTACCGTGCTCAAGAGTTTTTGCTTTTTAAACAATATACATATTTTTTGAAAAACAAGTCCTAATAGAATATAATTAAAAATAAAATGGCTAACATACAAAATAAAAAGTGCACTGTGTAAGATACAAAATAATATGTGCACTGTGTTCTCCCTGTCTCTACTACAACTGAAATAATCTCTTCTAATGAGTCTGAAGATACCTGAGGTTTGCAGTATCAAACAAAGAACCACAGCACTCAAAATAATTAACTACTATACATTTCAGATTTTAAAAAAGCATAGTTTATTATCTGAAAATAGTCAGAAATCCATAAATCACTTTTTTCAAATATTATCTCTAACTGACATAGTGGGAGCCCTGAGAATAAAATAAACATGTCAGAGAGTCTAAAAGACAGAGTCTACCTGGTCCTGTCGGAATGACTAAAGAACACAGTGAAGAGATAAATTATCAGTGTGTGAGAAGCTAAGATTCTCATTACTGAACTCATCTTGTTAGTGTTTAAATGAAGTAAAATAGAGACTACAACACTTAACAAAAGTTACCTGTGCATTGATAGTAGGGGAGTTATTCAAAAGCTGAAATAGTCTTTTTTACCTGACCAGAAATGTCCCTTGAGGGAACAAATGTCCCTTGGAGGAAGTTTTAAAATATAAGTCAGTTGAAAAGCTATCCTATACCCCACCTCAGCATCAATATATGTAGGTGTCTCAAAGGGGGATGCCACAAGGATGAGGCCAGATTCTTTCCAGTGGTGCCCAGAGAGAGGATGATGAAGTGGCCATATATTAAACCACAAGAAATTTCTCCTCAACCTGAGGAAGAGCTTCTTTATATAGAGGGTGGCAGAGCACTGGAACAGGCTGCCCAGGCAGGTTGTGGTGTTTCCCTCTCTGGAGACACTCAAAACCCACCTGGCCATGTTCCTCTGTCACCCGCTCCAGGTGACCCTACCTTGGCAGAGGAGTTGGACTGGATGATCTCCAGAGATTCCTTTCAACCCTAAATTTCTCCCACCTGCTTTCTTGCTTTCTGAGTTTCTAGGTACATGCTCTCAACTCTTTTCATGTGGAAGTCCATTTCATGAAATGCTGCAAAAGACAGCAGGCTAGGACTATGGGGTTTCAGAGACATCAGGTCTCCCCATCCATGTGCTCATGAAAAAAAAAATTAAATGTCTGGTAAAGTAGCTACCTTACTACAACACTACTTCAGAACAGTACTTCCTTGCTACCAACTCCTTCTCTGAACTTCTAATCTTTTACCACAAGAACTCGAGAAACATTAATTTTGTTGAATCTAAGGCTCCATTTATGTGCCCTGCAAGTCAGATATTTGAGCTTCTCATTACTGTCCTTCTTCCTATGTTCAGAGCATTACCCTTTAATAATTATAATAAACCTCAGTTTTCAAATAATGGAGAATCCTTCATTTAAAACTAATACGTTTTATGTTTTAAATTTTTTCCACTGAAACATATGCTAACAGGTACACATTCACTTCCTTGAATATTTATTAATTTTTTCCCCTAGCTCTTTTTCCAGTAATTCACTATCCAATAGACCTTGTGTACTCTCTCCTGTCTTTCTATCTAAGCTCAGAAGAAAAATAAGAGTAACTTAATTCCTTTACTCGCTCTGCTCTCTTTGCAGGTTAAAAATTAAATGAATACGCAGACTGAGACAGTTCAAAACTCTAAATTTTCTTGGTACACACAGAATAAATGATGTTTCTTACAACCAGTTTAAGCCCAGAAAGGAGTTATGAAAAGTGAGTCCTGAGCAGCTGAACTGGATGCAAACAAATTTTGTTTTCTGACAAAGTAAAAAAAACAAAAACAGGAACAAGACCAAGAACAAGAACACGAACAAGAACAGAAACAATAACAAAACCAAAAGAAGTATCACCCTAAAACTTTTATCAATATTCCTTTATTCTAAAATTTGGTGACTCAATTAACCTATGTAACAGACCAATCGTGATTCCATCCTGAACAGATTTTAGTCCTTTTGCCCAAAATGTGGACTAAAAGTTTCCTTAAATTTTGGAATTGGTTTCCTTTTACTCAAAAGGCTCAGCTCCACAGCTCTTTTCTGATTACAGAATCTGTTAAAATTGGGTCTTTTTACCATAAAGTAAGCACTGCTGAAAACAACTGGCAATATGACATGGCTTTGCCTTCAAATGCTTAAGAAAAATACTGAACACCACAACTGAAATTTTTTTGGGTTTTTTTTCAGTGTCTGGTTGTCTGAAAAATATATCCTTCACTTCCCTTCAAACTACATGCTCCCAGTCAGTATTTTAATTAAAAATCTAAATTTAACTACCAGCAGAGTTTAGCTGATCTGCAAAGAAAGAAGCCATTCATACACCCATTTCAAAAGAGTAATTCTGCTATACTAAGAAAATAAAAATTCCTCTGAACACTATTTTTAAGAAAAAATTAGTCATTTTTATAATCTCTCTCCAAAGATCAGAATACACTTAAAGGCAGGAAAACTCTGACCCATCTAATAGAGCCTGTAAGTCACACTTGTCAGCAAGATTTTCTATTATATATGCTCTAATATCCCCAAAGTGAGGGTTAAGCTAAATATATATATAATGGCAGACTTATTTGTTTAAAATAAAATCAACCAAATGTAATCAGCATCCCATTCCTACCTTAACTCTTTTAAAATGTTTCTATTAAATCCATTTTCCCTGACCTTAAATGGCACTTTATATTAGCTTTAATATTTGGAATGTGTTTAATCTTGAGAGATTCTAACTAAAACAATCATATTCAGATGTACATAAAAGCAAATTGGAAGAGAAGGGCAAGGAGGGCATTTTTTTCTATGATGTTCGCTGAAGAGAAAATACTGGATAGAGAGATGGGCAAATCCTAGTTTTTAACCATACCCTGAACTGGAAAAGTCCACTAGAGTTTTGTATTTTCTATCTCTTTTACGACTTAAAAGATCTGTATTTCAAGTAAAAGTATCAGTGCTTAAATATGCTTCCTGTATGCCCCATTCTTTGTTTTCTTTCAATTTCTTTAATGAAGTCACAATTAAACATTGAAATAATGTACTGAGAGACACTCCAGCACTGTTAATGTTGTTGTAATTTCTTCAGATTGCAACAGTAATCAGAAACAGATGGACATGCTTACTTCTCTGAAGTGACCTCAGAAAGTAATGTAACTTGGGCCAGTCCAGCTGAGCCTCAGTGCTCATTATTTTGATTCCTTCATCCTTCACTGAGGAAGCCAATGTCAGACACTTGCTAATCTAAGAGGTTTGCAGCTGAGAGTGAAAACACAGATAAGGAGCTCACTAAACCTTCTTCTGGAAAAGCCTCATGAATGTGAATTCAATCAGAAGTCAGATGTCAATATAAAAACTAGCTCTCTGAAATTGTTGCAAATGCCAAAAGTAAACTGCGGTGTATATATTGACAATTGCATGTGCAAATTTCGTAACTTTGTAACTTAGCTGAGATACTGCAAAGGGTAACATACAGATCTTTGTGCAACACAACGCCTAGAATGATTCCAGGACAATACATCAATTTCTGTCTTTATTAAATGCATGTTGGTAAAATGCAGAAGTAGAAAGTGGATGAAACATAACTGTCTACAGTTATACTTTAGAGATCTGCTTTTAAGAATTGGAGGGATGCTAAATTCTGCAACAGGAAACTTTCCCGTACTAAAAAATTCAAGTACTATTATATATTTCTAGGAAATCACTGACCCACAGTAGTACTTCATACAGCCTTCTCTAAACTGCTAGACAAAAGGACCTTTTATTTCTTATTGCTACAATAAAACACTTTGTGCAGTGTAACTCTACAAATGCTTCTCACTTTAGATTTCATAAAAACTTTTCTGCCACGTTTTTTACTGTGCTTGCTTGTCCTTTACTAGTAAAACAAATTTCATGGACCTAAAAGTTCTTGAACAGAAACAAAACAACCTAACTGCAAACATAAACCAAGAAAATAGTGACCCTGTGGTATGCATTTTGCTGGGGCAGCTTTGATTTGACTTATAAATCCAAAGTGTACAAACCTACTTGCTTGAACGTACTCAAAGATTTGTTGTATTTATTGCTCTCATGTTTTCTGTGTTCTCAGAATCTTTACCAACTATTTGAATACATATGCAGTACACATACATTTTAAATTTCCAAAAGCAACATTCCCTAGAGTGATTCGGCATAGGAGAACCGCATGTCGCCTAAAGAAAACCCACCAAAACCCACAACTAACATCTCAAAAAAAGCTATGAATAATTACTGAGAAGTAGGTTTAGTGCACAGAGCACTGCCAAACAAAAGCCGGAAGATTTGGCCACCCCCAGAATGAAGGTCTCCCTGAGATTTCAGTTGCACTGCAGATAAAGTTCTTGACATCGATGAGAAAAAGAAAGCATGGTGGGGTAATTTCCACTCTGCAAAGATAACTTGCATTGTGGAATTGAGAAACGTTATCTGCAAAAACTGCCTGAGTAAATTTGCTATACCTGGGGGGTAGTTTTTTTGCAACATTTTAAACTGAAAGTCTCTCTCACAAATTTTGCTCACTGCTAGCTTACCTCCTGTTTGAGTGATGACTTGAATGTCACTAGAAAGTGGTCCATCCCCAACAGAAGTAAAAGCAAGAACCTTCACAGAGTATGTTTTCTGGGGTACCAGATTCCCAATAGTGGTAATATGGCTGTCAGCCACATTGTGCTTCATCCAACTGTTGACATGCTGAGTGGGGTCCATGGTGTAATAAACTCTGTAACCTTGAATTTGCCCATTAGGTTCCTCGGGCTCTTCCCACTGTACCAGAATGGTGGTGGAGCTCAGCATACGGGCCTGTACATTGCGTGGAGCACTTGAAGGTGCTTGCTCTGAAGTCCTTGTTGACACAGGCTCGCTGGGGGGCCCGCGCCCAATGTTATTTACAGCAACTACCCGAAATTCGTACTCGGAATATGGGCTTAGGCCAGCCACGCTGTAACGTGTTGTGGCCACCCCATCAATTTCTTTATATGGCTCCTCTGAGTTTTTGGGTTTGTGTTGGATTATGTAGTACGAAACTGGCTCAGGGTTTCCAGAATCCCAAGTCAACGTTATGCTAGTTGCTGTGCTTTCTGTCACCACAGGTGTTCCAGGAGGTTTGGGTAAGGCTAAATACACATAACAAAAAATACAGTTAGCACTATGTAACAGTAGACATTCTTTATTAGAATAAAAAAAGCTTACAAACAGTAACTAAGAACAAAACAAAAATAAACGGGAAGACAAAATGGAAAGAAGGAGCAATCTGTTCAGAGCAAGCTTTTGTTAATTATGATTTCCTCCAAAATCTATTGGAAAATCTTCACGTTCTGTCCAATGCAGTTAATCTGTCATGAATTAATGATACTGACTTTTGTAATAAATCCATAACCATATCCAGAAGAGGAATCTTATAGAAAGGCAATTCACAATTACAACTGAATTTTCAGATATTTTTTGAACCTCTTTTTTTCAATTACTCAGTGAATATGATACTTGGACACCCAGCAATTCTAAAAATCAAATGACTGGGTCTCAAAGGTTCCTGCTGTTGATAAAGAAACACAACATTTCAAGATAATTTCTTTAACTGAAATGAAGGCTGGGAGCTAGACACAGAAGAGTAATGGAAAATTATGACTAACTTATTTTAATAAATATTAATTATTCAATTAGTGATTATTACTGCTGTCTGAACCTGTATTTTGTCTTATGCTAGTGAGTGGTTAGAAGATTTACCCTCTTGATTTAAGAGGGCAAATGGCATTTAGACCTTTCAGTGTAATATGTTTGCTCAGAACGAATGAAACAAAAGACAGAACTGTGTCCAAATAAATGTGCTTGAGATATACCTTTGACAGTTATCTGCGCTATTGCTTCTATAACACCAAGGGTAGACATAGCAACGCAAGTGTAGTTTGCAGACTGTCTGACATCATTAAGCTCAAGGACGTTTCTCCCTATTGGCATATCATCCTCAGGTGTCAAATCTTCTGCTCCTAGCATCCATTTCACATATGGCATTGGTGATCCCACCGCAACACAGGTGATATTTACACTCCCGCCAGGCATGATCTCATGATTTGTTGGGGGTATAGAGAACCTCGGTGGGACCCTTCGAACTGGAACAAAACACAAAAAAAAGGTAATAACATATACAAAAAAGGAAACTGAGTCTTGCATAAGGACAGCATGCAGTGTACAGACACAATTTATTATTTTAGCGTTTATTCCAGTCTGCCAGAAAATATATATAAAAGAAATAAGACATTAAACAAGAATTTTGTCTGCACACAGTATGATTTATTCTGTATTTATTTGAGGATATTATTAGGCACATTCATACAAAGGCTGATTCAGACCTGCTAGGGCCCCACATGTAACTAACTACATACTAACAATACACAAACACCATGCAAAAGATATACACGCACACGTGCACGCACACACACAAGCGCACATATATATATGCATTTTTTTATGCCGATACATATATATATGCACAGAAGAAAACTGGAAGGTCAACAGCATGCTTGAGTTGATCACCAACTTCAATGCTGCATGCTTCCAGTTGATGTGAATAAATGTGCTACGCCATATCGTCACATCACAGTCCTGGAACACACTGCCTAGAATAAATTGAAAGTGCAATTTCATTTGCTTTCAGACTCAAAGTAGATGCAGCCTCAAGACCTCACACTAACACTGAAACAAACATAGAAAAAATATAGAATTGCGCACAGATTCAAATATATATATATATATATATACAGACATATGTATACATATATACAAATGTATATAAATATACATATACATATATATATTGAGAGAGAGAGACAGATAGAAAAAGAGACAGAGTCACAGAAAGAAACTAGGCAAAGCCAGTACAAAGTACTGGATTTGGTCATGCAGGCAAGCAAATGACAGAAACTGTAGAGAATCATGCTTAGGGAAATGTCTGAGTAAAAACTGCAGAGAAAAAACAACACAAAAAACCCATTGGGTGAGGAAAAGAAACTTGAAAGCAATGGAAATAGGACAGGCTGACAGATACAGGAGTTTAAGAGGAGCATAGCATTTGAGGGAGAAGGAACTTAGATTAAATTTAGGTGGTTAAAAAGCAACTGCTAGGAAGAGCGACTGGGGAAATAGCAGAATATTTAACATTCAGGATTCCACTATGCTCACAGTTTAGGGAAAGCAAAATAAGGATTAATAATATTAAGACATTTCTGTGTTGATAGAAAGGGGTGGCAACCTTAAACACATAGCAGGACATTTCACTAACAGAGTAGTTAATATTTAAACAAACACAACACCGAGAAAATTACCAGGCAATAACAGATCAGTGTTCCTGCTTCAAATATTCTCAGTGGTGTGCACATATGTGTAGGAGGTGGAAGTGACAGAGGTAGCTGAGAGAGGTAGGCTTGTATTTAGGCCTTTCATTGGATGGTGTACTCGAAACTGTATTTATTTGGCCTTAATAGAGGCTAATCATTAAACACAGTTTTAATTCAGCAAAAAAGTTAGAAGTAAAATAAGACTATAAGTGAGTTTGAAAACAAAAAAAAAAAACCCAAAAAATCAACAGGAAAACTATATTAATCTGAAACCTTTCCTCCAGGCTTGATTAAATTTCCGTGATCCTCTATGGATTCAGAAGGGGCTTACTGCAATGGCCTCATGAGTGAATGACAGGCAGAAGGGGAACAAGCAGAGAGCAAAACATCCGTAAACGGCCAGTTCACAGAGGCCACACAAAGCAAACAGCAAGCAATGAGCAACTTCTTGTATTGCACAAAATCCTTATAGACAAAGGAGAGTTTAGTCTTCATGCGTGGGCTATTTGGAAAAGCAACTCCTGAAACCATTCCTTGAAAAGCAGGCATCAGTATGAACAAGAAATTAAAAGGGAAGAAAAGCAGGAACACTGACCAAGTTTAGTAGACGTTAGTATTAAAAGCTAAAGAGATTGCCATGCATCCAGGTTCATTCTCTCGTGTCATGCACAACAGTTAGATACCAGCACTCATCAAAAGCCATGACCAGAGCATTCTCCGCTTAAACATAACATTAACTTAAAAAATGCCACAATGCAGCTACATTCATTTCATTTGTATTCTTTGTTATTGGTTTAATTAATAGTTTTGTAAGGTGGGTAAAAAGTAAAAAACACACCAACCTTCTCGCAGCTCTGAGGGATGTAGGGGGTTTGATGCAGAACACAATGAAATGAGGAAAGGAGAAAAACAAGGGAAACACAGAGAGAGTAAAAAGGCCATATCAAGGCTTTCAACTGCTACTTGAACATCTCTACTTGCTCTAATTAAACCTTCCTACCTCATCTTGAAAAGTTAGCATTTTCCACAGCTACAACGGAAACAATAGCTAGCATAATTTTGAAATTTTCCTTTGGGTATAAAGGTATACATGCCTCATGCAGTACAGGAGAGTCAGTATGTTGGAGGAGAAGAGAAAGAAAATAAAAGATCAAATAAATTTCTACGGATGTTATAACTATGAAAGGTTTTCCTTTCTTTTTCTTTTTTAATTAGCCAAAAGAGTAACACCATATGAAAACGCATCAGGTTGATAGAAAAATCAGCTCTAAAAAAAATTTCAAAATCAGGCTAGGCTTTTTCTGTAAGGTCATCCATCCTACTGTAAGGTTTAAGCTGTTTATATTTTCATTCCTATTTCCCCCGCCCATCCCCTTATATAATAGACACACACACACACACACATATATATATATATACACACATATGTATGTATGTATGTAATAGGCTTTGTTTTACAGAACTCTACATCAATCAGACGTAGGAAATACTGCCTGAAACAAAGCCCTTCTTTCTAGGTGAATCAAAAAGAAAATTCAATATGTTAATAACCATTTTTACCACCATACAGAAGAATATAATGGTTTTATTATTAGTCAAACCTGTCATACACAAAGGAAATTTCTTAAAATAATATAGCCAATTGACCCCTACCATTCTAAAGGACTACACTTCACTTACAAGTCTACACTAAAAAAAAATAAAATATATTTTTATATATATACACATACATATATATTAAGAAGAAAGAGAAAAGAAGAAAATACAGTTGTGCTCTGCATACATAAAGTTATAATGTTAGAAGCCTTTCCTTTGCAGTTAGACAGCAGAGGTCAGGTAGGCATACACCTCAATGCCCCGGGGTAACACTCAGCTGATTAGTGGCACACAGAGCAGTCACTTCAGGAGTTTGAAAAGAAACGCAAAATAAAACAAAACAAATACAAGAAAATAAATGCAAAGCACAATTTAACTTAATGCAGGAAAAAAATAAAGTTAAAATGCAAAAATATAAGTATACTTACAAACCTTAACCCACAGGATAGACTGGACTCAAGAGTGCTTTAAAAGAACAAAATAAACCCCAAGCCTTTCCTCTACAGTTTAAAATTAGCTTTACAATTGACACATTTACCATGGCATTTTGGTCATTACAGTGGTTACTGTACAGATCCTGAGAGTATCTTAGCCCTGAACCTGCATGAACAGTGGATGCCAGGGTTATGTCATTCCTACCTCTGACATATAGATTGGCAGGGGCAGAATAGCGTGTACCCGCACTGTTGGTTGCAACACACTCATATTTGCCTTGGTCAGATTCTTCACTCAGTTCAATTTGGAGGGCACCTGTATGAATATAAAATACATTGCCAAAAAGAGGGTCAGAGAAGGCTTTTTACATCCATAATAATACACCTCTCAACAATATGAAAAGCTTGTATGCGAAGGTCCACTCAACGTCGATTCATTTTCTTGCTAAGGTGCACAGACAGAAAATGATGCAATGAAAAAAACAGAGATTATTTTTTTCACATCATCAGTGCTAGCACAGGAAAACAATCAGCATTTGGCAAAAAAAAACACAACAAAACCCTGTCTAAACAATACTATTTCCTAAGCCATTAAATGAAGATGGGTGAGACTGCTTCAAGGAAGAATGGCTTTTAATAAAACAATAGAGATTAAATAGTTGGGTCATTATAGTTTTTTATTTTTTATTTAGTTGTTTCAATCTAGTAACAAAAGTAGCACAAAAGGTGGTACTCATAAAAAAGCAGGACAGACTTCAAGAAATCTTCTGCTGAAGAAAGCCAAAAATGCGCAGCAAGAACAAAAAGGCTGCTTGAAGTGAAAAAAAAGAAATTGTATTAGTCATTTACAATTATCAAAATATTATTTTAAAGAAATAAAGCTCCTTTAAGACATGCAGATTGATAAGAAAAGAAAGACCGTTTTCCGCAACTTACAATCTTAAAGTACGTTTGCTGAAAAACAAAGAGCAGTTGAATTAGAAGACAAAAAAGTTTCAAAAGCATGGTCTACGCCAACAAGGAAGAACCAACCAACCACTGCTGAGGACCATAGGAGGGCCCCTCCTGAGACACCCATCAAAATCCACAAGTGGGATTAGCAGTGTGGTGTCACAAAACCCAAGAAAAATATAAAACAAGAATTACAAAAGAAGTAAACAGTTTTGCTAGAGAATCAAAAACCAACAATACCACATACCACCAAGAATAATGAGTTAGTAACCTTTCATTTCCAAAGCCTGTAGATTAGAAGATCCAAAAATCCAGAGGTGAGAGAATTCCAAAAAAAAGAAAACTACAACAACAACCAAAAAAAAAAAAAGGCAAAACCACAATAAAAGGAAAAAAACCACTTCTGTAATTCTTTAGGGAGGGGATACATAATTTTCAATTTTATGAAGTTAAAGAAAAAAAAAGGATTGAAGAAGAACAAAACCAAAAACCTTTTATGAAAGATAAGACAAAAAGAAGATAGTCCATGTTGTCTTCTGCATGTCTGCTACTGTTCTCCAGACCATCTTGGCTTTGGTCCAGGAAAAGAACAGCTAAGGAAGAAAAAAAAATGATCTTTTTTTGCTCCAGTTGGACAAAAAAAAAAAGAGGAAGGAAAAAAAGAAGAAAAAAAAAGAAGAAAAAGAAAAAAGAAGAAAAAGAAGAAGTAGAAAAAAGAGAAGAAGAAGAAGAAAAAGAAAAAGAAAAAAGAGGGACAAATGGTACGCTGTGACTGGCTATGGCCAGAGACCTGGATATGCTTTCTTTGAAGCATATCACTTTTTCTTTTTTTTTTTTTTTTTTTTTTTTTAATGAACAAATGAAAAGGGGAAAGGAAAAGGCAATGTGAAGAAAGAAAGGTCACAATATGAGAGTCACTGATCATAACCAAACAGGACAAAGGAAAAAGAAAATCAGATGATGGACATTTCCGTGGTTTTTATTTTGTTTTGTTTTTTCCTTATGGAAAACAAAACAAAACAAAACCAAAAACAGGACAAAGATGAGAGGGATGAAAGGACAGAAAGAATGAGTAAGATCATTCTGTGAACGTTAGTTCAGCACTCTTACCTCTTATTGGTGTACCACCTGGGTGGATAATATGAATGCAAATAAGATTAGAAAGAAGAAGCATTAGTACGAGAAGAAGGAGGCTAGGGCTTTGGAAGAAGAATCAAATTAGATTTACAGAATTAAATAAGGTCTTAAGAGAAACTTGAATTACTATACTCTTAAAACAGGAATATATTAGATAGTATTATCAGGTTATAAAAGCAAGTTGCATTGTACCACAAAGGGCAAAAAAGCTATAATTGGCTGCACTGCCATTCTCAGAGTAGCATCTGAGTTCTTAGACGTTCGGTTATATAGGGTTAGAAATGTATCAAATATGCCTCAAATACTTAAAGGAAACTTTACAAAACTGTACTTATGACATATTTTAGGAAAATATTGGAAATTCTATTTAAATATATATATATATATAGATCTATATATATATAAAAAGAGGATATACTGAAGTCTATCTCAAAACAAACACTGTAGTTTAGGCTGGATTATGGCATTTACTGTTCTAGATCTATGTGATACATGTGTACTGTTTCTTTTAGGTGTTGCTATGACTGATAAGACAACATTTCTGTGGAGGTGTGCGTGTGCGCCACTATAGGGGTCTGGTGACTACACTGACTGTTAGTAAAATGCATGCCATGCATTTTAAGAATAATAATACTAATCATATAATAATTATCATAATCATAATCATAATATTCTGAATATGGAAATTAGTGGGGGTGAAGTGCGCTTCAGAACTAAGCACTTACCAATAGATTCTGGAGATTTAAATACGGAGAGAAGAAAGACAGCATAAAAATATTATTATATTCCTTATAATTTGGTACAAAGTTTTCAGTTAAAGCTTTATATACTAAATCATCTATGTCACATGTGAAAAAAATCTTAATTTACATTAACAGAAGGTTAATTTACACAGTTCTGCTGACAACAAGCAAAAAGTAGGTTAACAAGACGATTTAACATCACAGGACAGGTCAAAAGCTGAGAATTCTGGGAAGACACGTGATTAAACAACTTAGATTCTACAACGATATCTACTACAATTGTTGAAGAAAAAAGCTCATTATATCCCAGCGATCAATGATGTGATCTTATTTTGGGATAAGCATTAAACTCGATAAATTTAGAGATTTGTTTGTCTGTTTCTGGTTTTGTTTTGTTTTGTTTTTAATCTAAAGAGAGCAAAAGAATAAACTAAGGCAGGAGGAGAGTGAGAGAACTGCTAGGGAGGTGCAAGGGGCAAAGAGAGAGAAAGAGCAGCAAAAGCTGGAATCTACACCAAAAGCAGACTTCTGTAGATCCAGAAAATATAGGATTCATAAAGCTTTAGCGTGGACGCACACTACTGTGGCTAAATGTGTTGGAAAAATGCTCAGCCAGCAAAAAACCCCCAAGTTTGTTCCATAGATTTCCCAAAGATTTCATTTCCTTTTTTTTTTTTTTTTCAGGTATAAATCTGCATGGGAAGAAGTACTGTGCTTTATGTATTTGTGAGAGGAAAGAAGATGTGTCCAAACTGGCTAATCTTTGGTGAAGTCAAATGTGGAAAAGACAGCAATAAACACATTTTAGATTTTAATTGAAGTGTCTAATGCAGGTTTTGGTTTTGATGAATATAACCATTGGTACTCCTTGCAATTTCTGAATGAAGTCCAATGTTGAAATAAATTTGTTAAAAAAAATTAAAAGGAAAGAAGAAAGAAAGAGGAGAAAATGGATCCATCAAGTACTGCAGAAAGCAGTAAAGAAAAAAATTATCAAAAAATACAGTCACAGCAGTGAGCAATGTGGAGTAAACAGAAGCTGCAAAACACATAGAGACAGACTCTATAGAAAGCTATGACAACATCACAGACATGGACAACACACTCAGTAACACAGAAAAGGAGAGGGGAAAGAGAAATTATTACCTATAAATAAAATATTTTTTAAAAAGGAAGAGAAAGAAAAGAAAGAAAAAGTGAGAGAGAACAACTCTGGGCGTCGGTGGAAACAGTAACAAGACCCTACCTGAGCGTAGCTGCTTGATGCGGCCATTGTTGTTGCTTGTGTCAACAGGTAAGAAATCCTTGAACCAAGTTATTTCAGGATCAGGATTGCCACTGGCTGCACATAACATGGTAGCTGTACGAGTTCGTTCAACCACCTTCAGCTGTGGGCCCATATCAATGGTTGGAAAACCTCGAGGAATTTGATCCTCTGAAAAGAAATTTATAAATTGAGGGATTTAATTTCAGTTGTACAGTGCTGCATGAAAGCCCGAATCATCCTGTTTAATATTTAGTGATCACCTAATTATTTATAAACAACAAACAATTGATCAAAATGCTGATACAAAAGAAAAAGTTAATTAAAAATGGCTCTAATATTTATAATTATAAAATCATACGAGATACACTCGTTAGCAGGCAATCATTGGACCCATATAAGGTACCATACAACACTGATATTGCCCTTCTTGTAAGAGGCCCTACTATTTTACATGAAATATCAAGTTACCATTATCAAATCTACCAACCTTAAGGAAAACTCCTCTTCATACCAGAGAAGTACACAAGGAAGGATCACTGTGCAGTGTAAGATCTGGCTGCTAACTCAGAAGACCTAGGTTATGTTTCTTGCTTCTATCATTATTACTTATCTGCTGTTGCTTAACATCTATTGCCCCTGTGCTTTGATTGTCCATCCTACAGATGGACTTGACAGTGCTTTACTGCTACAGGGGAGTGCTGCAAAGATGAATGCCTTATAGGACTGCAAAACACCGAGAAATTCTAAACATTGCAGCTGTGCGGACAGCAAAGTTAAAGTGGCACGAAACTCACAATGATATTGAATAGATATTACAGGGTCTATTAAAATACTCAGATACAGCCCAAATCCTCATGCTAGTGTGGTTAATACTGAAATATTAAAAAATATTGCACAAGAGTAATTGGCCTTCATAATGTGACACCTGCTAGCAAGTAACACTGAAAGCACAGTAGGATCAGGAAATTTCTCAGAAATCAAGTTTGCATAGCTAAAATAACCTGTTTGAAATAAAAAATCTTGCTCCTCATTTCCAATGCAATGGCAAATATTTTTATTGAAAAATAATAATTCCATTCAAAAACGAAAATCAAAAATAACCAAAGAAAGAGGATAAACACTCACCATAAGCCACATGTTATTTAATGTCTTAACTAATCATTACTGACATGCAATTGATTAGGGGATAAAACTAACAGGAGAAATTGTTCAACATTAACTCTCTTTAGTTAAGAAGTGTCACATTTTCAAAGATGTCAGGTAAGTCTTCTGACTTTTCTGAAAATATGTATAGCAAACACAGCCTACAGATCTTTGTAGTTCCTGGGGTATGATGTTGCTCCTGAGCTACTTAACTGCTTGCAATACAAGTGCACATAGATAACCACAGAATAATAGAATGGTTTAGGACCTTAAACAAAATCTACATTCAACCCCTCTGCCATGGACAGAAATCTCTTCCACATCCAACCTGGTCTTGTACACCTTCACAGATGGGGGATCCACAACCTGTCTGAGCAACCTATTTCAGTGCCTCACCATTCTCAGAGTAAAGCTTTTCTTCTTAAGATCTAATCAAAACCTACTCTCCTTCAGCTTAGGGAAAATCTCCCATTTCCTATCCCTTTTGAAAAGCTCCTCTCCAGCCTTCTTGTAGTGCCCCTTTAGGTACTGGAAAGCATAACAAGGTCTCCAGAGCTTTATCCTTTCTCGGCTGAACAGCCCCAACTCTCTCAGCTTTTCTTTGTAGAAGAGGTATTTCAGACCTCTCATCAACTTGTGTCTATCTACTGGACTCATTCTAACTAATCAAAGTCTTCTGTTGGAGGCTCCAGACCTGGACACAGTACTCCAGGTGGGAGTCTCACAACAAAAGAATAGAAGGGTGTAAGTATATCCCTGCACCTCCTGGACATGCCTCTGATGCAGTCCAGGATAAGATTGGCTTTCTGAGCAGCGAGTGTACATTGCAGGGTCATATCAAACTTTTCATCCACAAATATCCTGTCTTACTTCCCAGGGTAAGCCTCAATTTGTTTTCCACTAAGTCTGTATTATTATTTGGAATGACCCCAACACAGGTACAGAACCTTTCACTCGGCCTTGTTGCACTTCCTCAGGTTCCACGTCTCAAGCCTGTTAAGGTCAATCCATGTCCTTCACTGGGGTGACCCCATCACACAGCTTGGTGTCATTGGCATATTTGCTAAGGGAGCACTCAATCCCACTGCCCATGTTGCTGACAAAGGTGCAAGTAGCACTGGGCCCAATATGAATCCCTGAGGATCTTCAGCTGACACTAGTGTCTAACTAGACACTGAGCTGTTGACTGCAACTCTAGGAGCGCCACCATCCAGCCAATTTTTTATCCACCAAGAGTTACACCTGTCAAAATTCCTGCCTCTCCCGTTTAGAGAAAAGGATGATATTTGGAAGAGTGTCACATGCTTCACACAAATCCATGCAGATTATTTCTGCTGCCCTTTCTTGTTCAACACTGCTGTAACGCAGTCCTAGAAGGCCACCAAATTTGTCAGGCATGATTTGCCTTTAGTGAAGCCATGCTGGCTGTCAACAATCACCTAATTATTTTCAGTGTCTCTTAGCATATTTTCCAGGAGGATCTGTTCCATGACCTCTACAAGCACTGATGTGAGATTACTTGGCCTGTAATTCTTTGGTCTTCCTTATCTCCCTTTTTAAAAGTGGGGTCATGTTTTCCCCTTTCCTGTTGGTGGGAACTTCACCAGACTGCCAGGAGTTTTCAAATATGATGTGTAGTGGCTGCATTCTTTCATCCCAACACTCTAGTCATAAGAGAGGTCCCTGTGTTTCCATGATGCCAATTAAAGTCATAGACCTGCAGGCATTCACACATCTCTACTACCACCTATGCTGCATGGGTTAGCACAAAGGGGTTTTAAGCTGCTCCCCAATGACGCTGACTTTCTGTCTGGTGTGGCTGGACTGTCTTGGTGCTCTGCTGCTGACCTGCATACCCTCTCCAGATTCTTTCTGGCTCAGCAATCTAACTAGTATGTGTGGGATGGCAAGTCCCACACTTTATCACTATTAAATCCGATGATATCTCCCTCCCCTCATATCTAATTTAAACACCTATCAATAAGCCTGCTAGCCCTTCACCAAAGAATCCCTTCCCCCTTGGAGAGAGCTGAATCCCGCCTTCATTCAGCAAGCTGGTGCCACATATATAGGCCATTCCATTATCAAAGAAATCAACATTTTGGTGATGACACTTGTCATGGAATCATGTGGGTCCATCTGTTTCTTTCAATGCTAACACCTGCAACTGGAAGAACAGAGGAGAAATAATCTTCACCCAATTCACCAACAATTCCAGGGCCTTGGTACTGTGAACACAACTCTCCAGAAAGCTTTCATGACTCTTTAGAACAAGAATTTCTACCTATCAGTTGATAAATGCCAAATCATTCACCAGCCATAGGCTCTTCCCAAAGAAAGGTATGTTTCATGTCTGCTTATAAAAGTCCTTGCTTTGGTATTAGCTGACAAGATTTGACTTGGGACACAGAACAGGATTTTTATGACCTTACCTTTCCTACTTGGCTTATACAAAAAACCCTAGAGTCCCTTTTGCAAATACCTAAGTGTACAAAAAAGATAATCTATCTTGAATGTTAATAGGATGAAGTAATAAAGAGCCTCCCTTTCTTATTTTTAATAAGGGCAATTAAATTCCATCCATCTGCCTTATGCATACAATCTCTTTGAATGAATGCTCTTCATGAAATTTTCATGAGAAACATCAAAATCGAACATTCAAATACCCAGAACTGTTATATTTTTGACAGTTGTGGCTGGTATCCAACCTGGCTTTCAGGTATCTGGCAATAAACCCAGATACACAACATCAAATGGACAAGGGAAATAATGAAATTTCTAATTGGAAGGCTTATCACAGTGGATTTAATTTTTAGGACGTTATTTACTTTTTGTCCTCTAAGTTTATTCATAATTTGTACAACTGTCTTTACACATTAGTGACACCAAGTATGACAGATCATCAAACACTCCAGGAAACAATCCTGAGCATCAAATCATTGTATAACTGCATCTCAGCCACAGTAAGAGGAAAGTAACTATTACAAATTTTTTTATATATTGGTATCACTATAATTTTACGTGAGGTGGCCAGGAAAAATATTTTTTACTGATCATTAATATACTCACTAGGTTCTAAACTACAGTATATTCTGCTCTTCCCATGTAAAATTCAGTTCCAGACAATTAGTTTCCAATTCATCAACAATTTAAATCAGACTTGACCTTCTCAAAGCCATTTGGTACTGTCATTTTTAGAGGCCATTAAAGGTCAGATTTTTCTGTCCTTGTGGTTTAGTGACTTATACATGTAATACGTATTTTGTTTAGGATGACAGATACAAGTGATTTAGAAATAGGCCACATACTTTGAATCTGTTATTTGTCTTAAAGGTGCTGAATTTCATTATTGGCATTAAAAGAATGCATTTAGTACAGCACAAGTATAATTTCCAATTGCTGCATGACTTCACAGAAGTTATTTGTCAGTGTATGATCTGAACAATGTAGAAAACAATTACAGAGAGAGATTACCAGATGAGCCCTTAAGAGAGAATGCAACAAAATGACCTTGCCTTGCTTTGGATCATGGCTCTTCGTATTTCTCAAATCTCTGTACATTCAATCAGTTTGACATTGCTCACCCAAGGCACACAGAATGGACAACAAACAGAAGCTGGAAGCCACTGAGCTGCCAGAAAGTTGTCACTTTCTTGCCATTACTGAAACCTGGTGGATGTGACTAGAGTGTGACTACTGATGGTTACAGGCTCTCCAGAAGAGAGAGGTGAGGAAAGAGAGAGGCAGAGGGGTGGCCCTCTACATCAGGAGGCAGACTGAGGGTGAAGAGCTGTCTCTGAAGAGCAGCCACGAGCAGGGCAAATGCCTGTGGCTAAGGATCAGGGACCAAAGCAACAAAGGGAACGCTGTGGATGGTTTTAAGTGCAGACCCCTGATCCAAGGGACCCTACTGATCAAGCCTTCTTGCTCCAGCTACAGGAGGCATCATGCTCACAGGCTCTTGTCCTGCTGGGGCCCTTCAACCATCCCAAAATCTGCTGGGAAAGCAGCACAGCAAGCTGCAG